TAGTAGAAATGGACAAAGCGACTGATGGTGACGTCACTTTCCATGTGAGGCCTTATAACCTTCATTTCTTCATTAAATCAATAGACATTGACAAAAATATGTTATTCAAGGCATAGGTTTCCGCTGTTTGTGGACCTTATAGTTGGCAGAATGCTGAAATAACCTTGTGCTGCGTTAGACCTCAAGAATCTGCCTGCGTAATCTCAGTTTTTTATCTCTTATAGTTCCTCAAATCTCTGCGTTCATAGCGTACGGACAAACGGATATGGCTGAATCGACTTCGCTATTGATACTGATCAAGATCAATTTATCATAAATTTATCAATTTATTTAATTTATGATCACGTTATAGGGTTAGAAACGCTTCCTTTCCTTTTTGTCAGTCTCTATTATGTGTTGTTGTTATTGGAATGTCGAAAACAACTATTATATTTTATAGTATAGTATATAGTAGTATAGTATTCTTGAACATCCCGTCGTTAAATTATTTGGCTGCCTTGTGAATAATCTAAAAATAATTTTAATTAACATAATTTCATTGAATTCAAAAAAAAGATAGATAAAGCTATTCTTAAGGTTCAAAAAAATTTGATTATTTTGTTTTTATATTTTTAACAGGCACTATCAGTTTATGACTAGGGAGACCGTGTGACCGAACAATACGTTTGTTTCGGTACTAAGTTTTAAATTAGATACAAAATTCAGATTTTTAAATAAAAACGACATTGTTTTGCCCAAGAATCTAGACCTTTATGTGAAAATCTTAAGTTTTCCTTTCCCTTTCCTTTTCTACATAAAGTACTTAATTATTTCGACTTAATGGAAATTATTTGTTCTCAAAGATCAAAAATTTACTTTATTTAAATCAAAAGAACATAGACTTCTTTATTTTTAAGAAAGTTATGAAAGTTATGGGAAATGTTATTTCTTTAATATATAATCGCAATCTTTTCTTCCCAAAAACCGTAGCTTTATTATGAGAATTAATTGAGAACTTCCTTTTCTGGAAGATTCTCTCAATTTTTCAGGCATTTATTTTTTAGAATATTTAGCCATATGCGCTTTTGTAATACACCCAACATTTTACCAAAAATTTGTATTCTCTTAGTTGATATCATAGTGCCTAATAAATCAACTTGGTCAGTCAAAACTATCAATATTGCGTATACGCAATATTTGCCAGATAATGTGTAAGATTCCCAACAATAAATAAATGGCTTCTGCAAAGATGCAATTTGAAAAGCATCTAGATAAATGCAGAAAATGGTAGGAAAAGAAAAGAAGCGAACGAAGTGCCTGCCGAGCGAGATGCCTTTGCCTTGGCCATGTAATGCCTGCCAATTGGTACAAAGAAAAATATATATATAGGATATATAAAACCTCCTATAGAAACTGTGCTCGCCGATCAGCTGAGCAGCTGCAGCAGGAGTGGCAGGAGCAGCCAGAAACAGCTTCGTGCTGCAGCAAGAAACACATAAAAAGGCGCAGAAAAACGAGCAAGAAAACTTAGCTAACGACTTAAACGATGGCAAAAGGAGCTGGGGAAACGAGGACCTCGTGGAAGACTCGGTGTCGGAGCATTCGGAGATTGCCGAGTGGAAGGTTAGCTGCAGTTTGGACAGTAATAAAAGTAATAACAACACCAGTACCAGTACCAGTACTAATACCAACACCACTACCAGTCTGCAACCTGCACATATAGTTGTGGCATGTACATGGGTCACATACAGACATATATATATACCTCACTGAGCTTGGATTTGTGTACCCACTTCTCCTGCCACTTGGCCCTGCGCAGAGTCGCTTTATGCGCGTTAATGGCATCGTTTACTGGCTAACTGTACATGCATATAGACATGCATCTAGCAGATCTACATATATCTATATCTATATGTATATAAGTAGGTACATGTACATGCTAGTACATATTCCTGCAGGGGAATGGCGGTGCAACGGCGACAGCTGCAGCTTTTCGTGCGGGCAGAATTTTCGTGCCAAGTGGGCGTTGCCAACGCTTCCCGAACGTTTTATATAAATATTGTGTAATGTTTGTACCATTTGGGATTGCGCTTAAAGTGACCAAAATGTTCGGTGATTAAATAAATGTAGAATTCAGAATTAACATGCCTGTTCCGGCAGGAATCCAATCCAAAGATATGTCGATTTAATGGAGTATTTTAGTTAGATTTTTCAAACATGTTCGCATTACACGTGGCTAATTATCGTTAAAATAGGGAATAATTAGATGTAAAAAGGGTAATTATCGAATGTTGAAAACATGATAACATTATGGATAATTATTGCTGTTTACAGTTTTAATTAGGCTTATTTATTATTATATTATCTTCGTTCTCAGAATAATACTTATTATATATTTTTTTACTAATTTAGTTAATAGTACGAACAAAAGGCTTCACAACCAAAATATAATAATAACATTTATTTATTTTATTTAAGTATTAAGAATGCAGACTTTAATATAACTACCTTCTTCGAGATTAATTTAAAGACTGTTGATTTTTTTATACCTAACCATACATAATGAAAATGTACATAATCTATCATGAAAAATTAACAGTCATTTTGCAAAGGTTAAAAGCATTTAAAATGATGTTTATGAACTTCCTGATAATAATTAAAACTACAACTTTTATCAAAAGATGAAATGGATAAAAAAATGGATGGATAAGCCAAGGATAATAATAAATAATAGCTACTTTAAGAGAAGAACATATTTCTTCAAATCTTTTCTTAAAGTTTTTCTTAACTATAACACGGCTTTTAAAAAATTCTTCATAAAGATATAATATATAGAAGATATCATGATAATGTAGCAGTTCAAAGGGAAGAATCATGCGCACCCATATAATCGAATAAGAATCTTTAGTTTTGATTCAGATTATCAAAGATATAAAAATCAGTAGATCATGCGCACCCATATAATCGAATAAGAATCTTTAGTTTTGATTCAGATTATCAAAGATATAAAAATCAGTAGATTTTCCAAATTTAAATGCAGTTTCTAAAGTTTCAGTTTCTTGTAACATACCGAATTAAAACTGTGTACTTTGGCATTCTAAGGCTGCACATTGTGGTTACCCAGTCTCAATGAATACTAGATTATTATAATGCTCTTTTCAACAACACTCTGTTAATATATTCTAACCCAATCGCACGCCCATTGGTTAAAAAGCAATAGAGCATGCAAATAAATGCAATAGGGCTAGTAAAATAGTTTGGCAGTTATTGCCATGGTCGTGCTGCGGTTGCGGCAGCAATAAATCAATTTATTAGATTTATTTGCGTCCAATAAAATAATTTGCAAGCATAAAATGCTAACAAAACAGAGCTCAAACAATGGTCGGCCCACTAATGGCTTAATTACTAAATTAAAAAGGCGCAGACAGTGCGGCAAATGTTCGTGTGGAATGCAACCAAATGATTGAGCATGTGGGCAAAACTCAGGTAAAAGTTACACAAAAAAAAACTAAACAAGAAAAGAATGAACAGCGGCGACAACAGGAAGTAGAGCTGTTCCGAAAACGAGTTTCAGTCAAGTTCGCACACGCAAAGTGAGTGCGCCAATGCAAATGCTGCACCACAATACTCCCTGCAACAACAGCGATGGTGTTGCATGCAACAGCAGCGACAGCAGCAACATCAGCCCCAACAGCAACACTTGCACGCCAGCAACACCGACGGCCGCATTTAAGGAGCAGCGAGCAGAGAGCCATAATAAAACGGGCCAATGGATATGAAGCTCCGCCTACAACCAAACTACCGACAACGATGTCGACGACGGGCCAATGTTGCTGTTGCTGTTTTACTTGTTGTTACTGTGCGGTTGCTGTTGTTGTTATTGTTGCTGCTGCTGTTTGTGTGTAGGTAAAAACAAGAAAAACGAAAAAATGGCTGGCGATACGAAGAGCATAATGGCATAAGCTTCGCGAGTAAAAGAGAAAAGTGCCAGGCAACACCAGCGGGCAAAATATTAATACAAATGACAATATTTAAACATGCATTATAAGATATAATACAGTCTTATAGGTAGATTTCTAAGCAAAACTGATCATTTAGCTAAACAAATACTTTCTAATTTATATGATATTAAAGTTCTTTAAATCACCGATAGATTCTAGGAAACATTATATAAGAATATAACTGCTTGTTAAACGAAAATACTATTAAAAAAAACTAAATATATATCATATTAATTGTAGTTAATTTAGTTTATTTTTATTGATTAAAACAAAGAATTTCTTTAAACTTTTTTATCCCATAAATATTTTTAACAGTCTGTAATTTTCGTATAACCATGTGGTAACTTCAGGAAAGAAACTTGGCTTTTAAGTTAAATAAGATCTCATTACCATACAAAGGATTTAACGTATAAAACCTACAAATTTCTTCCTAAAAGCTTGTTCCTAAGTTTGAAATTAGATTCAATTAAAATAAGAATTTAAGAACTAACCCAGACTAAAACTAAAAAATACATTGTAATACATTGTAGGTATTTAAGCTGAACCATTTTAGTTTAATTAAATTGCAATACATTGTAAAGTACAATTTTGTATATTAAGGAGTTCTTATTTTAAACCTGCTGCTAGAACATTTTGCTTAGTCCTCCTTAGTTAATATTCTTGCTTATGCTACTGGTTTTCCCAGAGGCTCGGAATTTTGTATATTCTTGTTCGATACCAATGGGTTCCACGTATTGAGTTGCAAATTGTGCCGACGTTTTTGCCGCCATGTTTACGTTGCACATCGCTGTCTGCCAGTTTTTGCCCGAATCACTTATGCAGACTGGCGAAATTCTAGAAAGAGTGGATCTGGCTCCACTTCGATGTGGGGGTACTCATGTCTGGAATTGTTTGTTTATGGGGCAGAGATTTGTCATTGAAGCTGACTTCGATATGCAAGAAGGGATCAATTGCAGATCATCGATCTTTGAGACTCATGGGAATGTAAAACTTATAAATTCTTCTTGTTTTCTTTTTCAGGCCAAGACGTTTTCCTAGACTATTGCCAAAAGCTATTAGAGAAATTCCGCTATCCTTGGGAGCTGATGCCACTCATGTATGTGATATTGAAGGATGCAGACGCCAATATTGAAGAGGCTTCACGGCGTATCGAAGAGGGTAAGTCAGACAATCATTGAATAGCACTCCATTTTATTACCCCCAATCTGGCTATAAAAAACATAATCTATACCGAATGTCTTTCGATCTGATCTACACCAGGCCAATACGTTGTGAATGAGTACTCCCGTCAGCATAATTTGAATATCTATGACGGGGGTGAGCTACGCAACACAACGCGGCAATGTGGATGATAATTTTTCATTAATTAGAGTAACGATTAAACTATTGCCCTGATATTTATTGTTCAGCATCACATATTAGCTTAAATGCTTCGGTGAAATCGCGCGAATTTAACTTTCGTAATTTAAAAAGTTGAGTAATGTAGCGTTTAAAGGGAGCTAAACCTCTGTACATATATCGAATTTATCGGTAAGCTAAAGCGCAACTTGGATTTATCTTCAATCAACAAGCCAAATATGTCGATGTGTGACCGCCGGTTCCCGCGTCTCTTTTTTCTTCAATCAACATTACCCCATGCTGAGATGTTTGGCCGCCAATCAACAATCAACATCCTCTTTTCTTCAATCAACAATCCCCCCAAAATGGATCCAATCAACATGCAAAAAAAAACACTTGCCGCCAACGAATAAAATGAATCAAAGCAAAATATTTATTAAATCGTTTTCAAAGATTTTCGAAAAAAACCAAATGCCAAATCAACGATCAACATTTTCAACAACGTTCGCATCACAAATCTGCACATCGGTTGTATAGCTTTAGTTTAACCTTACTTTAGTCTTGCTTTACCAAGTTAATTAGGCTAACTTTGGGTCTGGGTGTGACTCTCGCTTTGCCGATAATCGCCGTCTATGTAAAGCCATTAAAAGCGCCTCACATCAGTCATTCATATAATTCTTCGGTTACTTAAGTACTTAACTGAATCTAAGTACAAAGTGATAGTTTATTTTTGAATCAGCTGCACTTTGAGAAAACTAAGTTATGAACTCATTCAAATAGGCTTACAAGCTAATCTCAAAAATATCTTCTCTACGTGTGAATTTGTATCTTAACGGGGTACTTACTTAGTAACCCCTGAAGTAATGTATGCATATTTCCTAGGGGGTCTTGGTATCAGAAAAACTGTTGTGAGATGGTGCACAAATTATAAATATACCTAGGTTAATCCTATCAATGTCTTGCGAAACTCTAATTGTAATATTCAATAATAACAACAATAATTCTCATTGACATTGTAAAATATTGTTACAAACTTAAGTAAGATTTAGCCCAACGGAATATTATGAAAAGGTTTAAGCCTCAAATGTCAAAAATAAACTATTTTCCTTAAACAAAAAGAACAATAATGGAAATGGAAACCGAAAATCCACGGAAAATCAACGGAATTACCTCTATCAAGGGGAAGTATCAGCTGCTGTTTGCTTTGCCGATGACATTAAAAATTGTAACGATTGCTTTTCAAGTTGTTGCCATTTCACGAAACCATTACCGTTGCACGTCCCACCATCATCGGATGAAGTTTTCTGGTGGCAGGAATCTGGGCCTCGAAGTTGGGAGCTGGAGCTGGAAGCTGGGTGTTCCTTGTGTCGCCACTGCTGCTGGGATCGTAAATGCATCATTAAACCGAAAAATGCATGCGAAAAATTTACGACATTGCCAACACCATTGCCCAAAGGCAGCCACTTAGAGAAACGTTTTCCTATTTATTTCTTTGTTATTTGATTTTGCATATCCTAAGAACGTTGTTTTTGACTAAGAACAGAAAGCTATAATGATTTCAATTCCATTCTTTGACAATTAACATTACATTTTTGATACTTATTGAAAATTCTCATTTTCGGTTGGAAAACATTTATTTAAGTGCCTGGATTTTCTCAAATTATTCAATAGCTTTGAAAATGCATTACATTACATTATCGATTTTAAAATTGTATTGTTTGGAAGTTATATTTTTAAGAAATGACTCCCTGCAAGATTGTTTACCAGTGTATGCCTGAGGGTCCCAGCAAGGGTTTTAGTTTTTCCAGCTGGAGCTGGGGATAAGCGGCTGTAGTCCACCACCAGGTAGCTGCAATACTCCGGCCGTAAGAGCTCAACATCGCTTCTCGGCACTAAACACGTCACGATGAAATTTTTAGGAATCGCAGTTGAGCTGAAAGGAGAGTCTGAGAATCTCTGGGATACTGGAATGGGGATGCTGTGGGTAGGCAATGGCGACGTGTAAATGTGGGCACCATAAAGCTTAAAAGTGTTTATGGTTGAATTGTGCGCGAAGTAAACGAAGGAATCGTCGTCGTCATGTGAAGGCATTTGATGCCAGCGAATTGAGAATTTTATTGTGATATTCAAGGCACATTTTATTTTTGAACAGGGGAATCACATTTAAAATATTCTATGAAGACCATTCTTCTTTATTTGTTACGTAAAGTTTTACAAGTAAAAAGTTCAGCAAATTGTTTTCAATTTGGTTGATTGATGATTTTTAATATATTTTTTAATCTATCCACTCTTCTACTTTTTAAAACAATTTTAATAAATTATGTAAAAGTTTGAAGTGAAAAGAGTGAAATTTAATTTTCTGTTTATTGTAAAGTAGGTTTATAGTACAAGTATTATATACAGAAGGACAATAACTAAATTCATTCAAAAATTTGTAATAACGTTCATAATTTTACAATCTTGTGAGTACTTATCTTAAAATTATCTAATAGTTTTTAAAAGGAGGCCTGTGGCTGAGGCAAAGATATGTAAACAGCATATTTCAGTTACATTTTTCAAGTCGTAGGCAATGTTTTTTTAATTTAAAATCTATTTGTTCCCCCAATCTTTTTGAGTTATTGGACATGGACAAATACAACTTCATCATCAGTATTTAACTAGAGTGATGAGCAAACAAACTTATGACTCAGAGTTTATAGTAATTTCCTAAGGAATCTAACCCAGACCCCCGGCCCAATTTTACGATGCATTCCCACATCCTTGGGCTCTGTCATATTTCCAATGACGCCTTTCTTTGTTTTCCCATAAAAAATAGACTAGCTAGCATACCATTTTGTACGGGGCGCCATAACGAGCTGCGAGCCGTATCATCATCATCCTCATAGTCTTCGTCGTCGTCGTCGTCGTCGACGTATGGGGCTGCCCAGCTTGGTGGAACTTAGCTCGGCTCAGCGAGTCTAGTACAAATTCCTTTCCACTTTCATCCCAAACATTTACCAATGCTTATTAAAAACTATAGGAAAGTGCAGACCCAGCGGCAGCAGGAAGCAAAAATTTTCAACTTTACGACTTCATATTGTGGGTGGATCGTAAAACATTTGTGCAGCGTCAACTTCCATTCCACTTCCACAGCCGCTCCCCATTTGCCACATCAAGATTCGCTACTGTCATTTTTACTGCCCCACCGACTTACAAGCTGCCACTTGTGCCAGACATCTGATCCACATGCATGGCCATAGTTTCCTCTGGACAATCATGATTTATCATGTCCACGCTCCTTGCTCGCTAAATAATAAGCAACCAGTTTGTCATAAAGGCTTCCATCGTAATCCGACTGGCCAATGGTTGCCCCGAAACTGCCAAAGCTTTGGTGGGCCACTTTTATTTCTCAGTTAGCCAAGCCAAGTCAACCGTGAACTTATTGTCGAGGTTTTGTGGCCTGCAAAAGCAAAGATTATACACCCCACGAGAAACTGTGCACAACTAATTTTCTTTCCTTGGAGGTTAGAGATTTGAAACCCATTGAACTAGGTCAACAAAATGTTTTCTCACCTATTCAAATGTTATTTCAAAAATTTCCAGCATATACTAGTGATGTCTTTTGTTTATTCCTTTTTTTATACATTTTAAAGGGGGTTGAATAAGTAAAGTTAATAACTTATGTTGGAATGCAATATTTAGTAAATTCAATTTAATTTATAAGAAGAGCCATTTCAAACCGACATCGACTTTTAGAAATATGAGAAAAAAGTCATTTTGAACTTTAAACAAATTTGAAAAACAGTTTAATCAAAATTAGACATCTATATCATATATAATAGTATAAATTATATCAACTATAATGAAGAACTTGAATGGTATATAATTTAAACTTGTCGTTTTCAAAGTTGAATACCTATTAAACATTAAATTGATTTTAATAATTTTTTTAACAATTTAGTTACATTAGTGATCTATGAAATTCGGACATCAGTTTAACTTTGTCGCAAAAAAGACATGAATATTTTTGAATGTCGAGAACTGTAAACCCTAAATCAGTTTTCATAGTACTTGAGTTTCGCAGAAACGATTTAGTTCTTTGCAGAATATCTTCTTTTGTAAAAATAATTAAATCTAAAGGTTACATTTTTAGAGTAGACAAGCTGCTAAAATTTAAGTAGTAATTTAGTTTAGACGACTGTTTATACCTTTAAAGCTTTTTAAGCAGATGTTTGAAGTTAGATTTTCGTGTCCCTACAAATTATACTGAAAATCTTTATGTCTGATTTTCACTTGGCTTATTTCATTGTTCGGAAATTCCAAAGCAAGTGGGGAAGAGGCTCGCATAACTATCGTATTGGTCAGAGGTGGTCGTTGGTCCCTGTCCCTATTCCCGTGGCCAAACCTGCTGGAAAATGCATTCTTCTAATTAACCCAACACCAAGACTCAGTTTATGGACTAAACCAATGAGAGTTAGCTATATATTAACAAGTACTAGAACACCAGAGAGGATGGAAGGGAGATGGTGGGCAACTGAACACCGACCCCACTGCGCCTTCCCAACCTTGGGTCACAACTTTTTTACGACTCTTTATTATTTCGTCAAATCGCACAATGGGCGGGCGGCATTAGTTTGCGACTAGGTTGGGTCTGGCTGGCATCGACTGACTGTACCTTCAAGTTAAATTCCTCCAATTCCACTCCCCATTCCGTGCCCCCTGTGACCATCCGCTATTTGTGCGTCTCCCGGAGGAGTAGAAAAGGAGAACTCTACTGGAAAAGGGGACCAGAGGGAGGCACGCTCATGCGTAATTCTCTCTCGTATGCTCTGGCCCTGTTTAATGCATTCTGCAGTTGGCGGAAGAAAAAATCCCATTAAAATTAAGTAAAATTGCAGCAGCAGCAGCAGCGGCGGCAGCAACGTAATCGTAAAAACTTGGCATTTTGATGTTGCAGCAAGCAGTAAAATTTTGAAAAGTTTTTGCCACGCAGATAAGGCGGGGAGTCAGCGGAAGACAAAGGCTCTAGCCAGCCGAAGCTCCAACTGGGACTGGAACCGGGATGTGGATGTGGATGTGAATATGGCAGTTGCAATGGATGTGGATCTGGGGGCGTGGCACTTTGATGGAATAGGGGGGCAGTAGGGGCGAAGGGGTAGAGGGGTAGAGGGTTTATTATGTGAGCACCGTGCGAAGGTTGCACATAAAGTGCATGCCAGGCCATAGGTGGGCCCGTGCTTGGAGTCCAGGGGCACCGGTTCCTCATGTGCCTTCCTCCTTCCAAAATGGCGCACATCTTGGCCGGGTGGCATAGACATTAAGTGCGGCCATAGTTAGTGTTATAGCCTCCAGCCATAGCTTTAAACTGTTCTACTCTATTTTCTATATAAAGTGTATAAAATAAACGATGTGGCACATGTTCTTTTTTTAATTTATTCGCATTCCGGAATTTTCTAACATCTTTTAGAATTATTCAAGGAATCAGTTAAATATATTTAAAGAGCAAAATGCAGATTATAAGATTAAAGAATAGTTTAATAAATAAATAAACGTAAATTAAATTTATTACATTTTAAAAAAATGTATTAACATGCAATATTAAAAACGTTTCAAACGTACAGAATAGTAATAAGATACTAAAGTAAAACAAGGATCGCATTCATTTTGCTTTTATATCAATTATTGTAAAACTAAAGGTTTTTAAGTATTATTAGTGGAAGTCATCTTTAATATGATGATGATTATGCGATCACAGAACGTTTGTCAAAAGAGATAAAGTTAAAGCCCAGCTGCATTCACTATGAAGTCAATGATCTATTACCTTTTAAGATATTATTTTTGGAGTCAAGACCATATTGTGACCATTTCTAACCGCATAACTTTCATTGATCCTCAGCTCGCGTGGAAATAAACCGCACTGTAGCGCAGATCTATTACAACTACTACACACCGATGGCCCTGGTTAACGGAGGGCCAATGTACCTGACCTACCCGAGCATCGAGCAGGGTCGCTATGGGGCGCATTTCACCCACCTGCCTCTCACCCAGATTTGTCCGCCGACTCCGGAGCCGCTGGCCCTCAGTCGCTCGCCGTGTAGTCCAACCGGACCATCGGCAGCTCATAACCAAAAGCCTTCTCGTCCGGGCAGCAGCAATGGCACAGTGAACTCCGCCGCCTCGCCCACAATGGTCACCACAATGGCCACCACCTCGTCCACGCCCACGCCGACTCTCAGCCGGCGACAGCGATCACGATCACCGACGCCCACTACGCCGCCCCCGCCACCACCGGCTCACAGCAGCAGCAATGGAGCTTACCACCACGGTCACCACCTGGTCAGCTCCACGGCTGCCACGTAGCAATATCGCAATGTTGCTGCCGCCGTGGCAGCAGCAGCAGCGGCAGCTGTCCTCTTTGTGTAAGTATTAACCACGATTTGGAAAAGTTACAATTTATTACCTAGAGAGGTGAAAAAAGGTGAGACTACGCTAAGGGATTTAATTTCAACATTTTTTAATTTGTTACATCTTGGCCATAAATTAGATTGAAAGTTATTTGCAATCTTTAAACTTTAATATTTTCTTTTGGAGGAAAAAAAAAAATAAATTTAAATTGAGCTTAAAATAAGAATTCCTTTAGTTTATTTAATAAATCATATATTGATCTCAAGTGCCAACCTTAGTGGTCAGTTGGTCAACCTATTCCGATAGATGTATAATAATCTTTTCCAACATTCCAAAGTCTTTGGGGCTCATTATTTTTCAAAATAATTAATACCTTTTTAATAAAAATGTTTCTTATAGAATTTAAAGAAGTTTCGTAAGTATCGTAAGAATATTAGATAAATTATTAATTATATATTACATTATTAATAAAAATTTTTTAATTCGACATAGTGAAAACTCTAATAAAACTCTAAAATCTAATAAACAATTCAGCTCAAGATTTTTCGATTTTGTGAGTTGCTATTCAGATCTGCAGCTTGAAAGTTTGAAATGAAGATAATCTAAGCAAAGGCTTGGCTCATACTTACTCTAGGCACTGGAAAACTTACTCGATGGTTTCCTGTTTTTCCTTTCACACTTGCAGCTCATTTCGCATGCTGGCCCAGGCGCGTTGCCTTTAATCAAATCAATTTCGCAGCATAGTTTTATGTTCACAATTTGGGTTGGCTGGCTCATTTCGGAGCTTGGTCTCGGTCCCTGGATCCTGTACCAGATCCCTTCCTGTTTCCCAGTTGCAGTCGTCGATTGTGTAGCTGTCGGTTGCACTTCCGTACTGTGCACGAAAGTATGCAATGGCTTTTTCATCATTTGTCCTGATGACTCTCTGCAACGTGGGCAACAAAAGCTGCCTCGACTCGTCCCGACTCCAGGCTCCAGATGAAAAACAATTCCTCTTGGCCCGACATGCCCCGCCCCGTCTGCCCCTTTTCGCTGAATGACAATTGGAGCATTTTGGCATTTTCTTGGTGTGCTGCCTGCTGCCTTCTGCAGTTGCTTAATTCAGAGAGAGGCAAGTGTTGAATTTCCATGCTGCTGCCATTGGCATTTTTGTTGTTTATATTTTCATTGAAATGGGCAAGACGGGCTTGAGTTTTGTTCAGCAGCGTTTGAGCATTTTGTAGCCTTTTGTTTTGCTAAGCGATTTGCTTTAATTAAAAACTCAAGTGGCGCCAGCAGCGGCAAGGGCTTCTCCAGTTGCCACCCTTCGGGAATAAGAGGGGATCCCCCTCCGGCTACCAAAACATCAAAACTTACGCTTTGCACATTTGTCTTCTTTTTTGTTTTGGTTTCCTATTTTACGATTCACATTGGCAGACCGCGAAGACGACACTTCAAAATGCATATTTCAATGTTTTGGTCTCGTCCAAGGTAATAAAATATTCGCTGTGCAGAATTATGAAAGAGCAGCGAATTGGCATCTAAATCTTGTCTAGAAACTGTGCAGCATTCGTGGCCCTTCGATTGTCTTGGGCGACCATTAAAAACCCCAACCGAACCAAACTCCTATCACCTCTCACCGCACTCCTGTGGCAGATTCCTTCGTACTCCTTCTTCAAAGGGACTCCGTTCTGTTCGGTTTTTATGGGTCTGCATCATAAAACTGAAACTGAATCGCACGATAGCTGCGTGAAAATATTTTTTTCCTTCAAACGCGTCTGTTGCCAAACATTTGTGCCCTCTTCTAAGCCTAGAACCTCGGGCTGCAATTAAATGTTCCCTTTCGAAAAGGCGAGGCTACAAAGTCAGGCCGTTGGATCTCGTAAAACTATCCCAAAGTTCATTTAACTCTGTCACGAAGCGGATCTGCCAAATCAAACTTATTAAATAAAAAGTCAAAAAAATAAAAGATATATATGTATATGGAAAGTCCAAAAAAAGGAAGCAAACACAGCGGCAGCAACAAACAATTATTTCGGGCAAACCTCAAAACCATAAAAGCGGGCAAACAATACCGAAAACTTTTACGAGCCTTGGGGAGATCCTGCGAGCAGCAGTTCCTGAAAGCATTTCATTTCGCCAAGAAACAAACGCACACCAGGAGCAGAAATATCCTTTTCGAATGGCACTTCAATTCCGTTGCAAGTCGCCTTTTGTTGCCGTGGCCAAAATGGCAATAAATGCATAAGTTTCCATTTTACGATATTTTGTTTTCATTTCGCGTTGCTGCTTTTCTAGGCAATCCCCCTCACTCACCTTTCGAAATGCACTGGGGAAAATAGTTTTACGCCCACCGCCTCCTTTCTCCTTTTTGGTCTAATTATATTCGCCCGCTAATTTGTTTGAGCACATTTAAGGTGCATATGTACATGCTGTAAATTGACTAATGCTTTGGCACATCAAAAGTGTCAGACGAACAGGCAGAGTTATAAAAATACTTTTACCAAAGATCGCTGTTTAGAGAACATGGCACCGCAAACATCAAAGTGACAAATAAACATGACAAAACATTTTAAGCACCGCTAGTCAAAGAGTTTAGGGCTTGTCTATAATTAAAACATCATATAATCCCACCAAATATTTAAATAAATTATTCTTTGATATGTGTGAGGAGTGTCCTAAGCATTCTTATTTAAACTTTTCATGCAGTTTCTGATAACGATTTTAAGAATATAATAATGAACAAAAACTACTTGGTTCTATTCCTGTGTAGCAGAAATACATTTTAATTAAAACATAATAAAATAATAATATAAACATGTAAGTTGGCATACCACAGTTGATTATAACTATTATTCATATATTCTAATATTAAAAAAGATCTTAAAAATATCTAACTTCCGGTTCATTTGCAAAAGCAGCAACTTTGTAGCCCTCTCAAAGGTGACTCCTCTCTTAAGATTATGCATAAACATACAGCAAACATTATACAATTTATATTGAGTATTATTGTTGCCATACATTTCCGTCGATTTCTAATTTCCGCTGAGTTGCCATTAAAAAAAGGAGTAAATCCGTCCGCATTTTTAATGTCCCCCAAAACATCGTCATGGCCTGATCTTGATACCCGGGGGCTGGCATAATATAAATGCAGTGCTTGCCATAAAAATAAAACACAACAAAATAAAGGAATAAAAACAAAAATGTTATAGTTTTCGAGAGTTCGGTTTCGGTTTCAGCTTACGCTGCTCGAATTTCGCCCTGACATTTCGCTCTTGTTTGTGTCCCATTCGGACTCAGCTCCTCCTCCACCACCAGGTCCATGGCACTTTCAGCTCAGATCGCTCACACATATTCATTTGTTTTTGGGGTTCGTGTTTATTATTCTTCAACGCCGTCTTGCCCTTGCGTGCGAAGCGCCCTTCGGTGTTTATGGTGCCGCGTTACGCTCCCTCTTCAGTTTTTTAGTGGACACGCATTATTAAAAAATAAACAATAATGTATGGTGTATACAAAACCAGAAACCAAAGCAAACCAATACGAAACGAAACGAACTCAGCCGCCGTCAGCTTAGCTCGAGGCCCTCAAGAATCATTTTCAGCTACTCCTTTTTCACTGGAAACTTTTTCGTGGCAATCGTAAAACTTCGACTCAAACTGCAAAGGCATATAAAAAAGACATAAAGTCGCCAAATTCCAGAAGTACGAAGAATAGGGTGTACTCTATGGGCCAATGATAAATGTCCTTAAAGGATAAGTTTAAGGGTGTTCAAGTTTAATTTTGTTTTTAAATGAGTTTAATACTTATAGACTAAACTGAAAACAATTCAATAAGACTTTTAGACTTTGTTGCAATTCTTAAATCTACTTTTTTAACAACTTAACTTAAATGTAGTGAACAAGTTAAAATATATTCAAATAACTGAGACATACCAAAAACATCTTTAACACGACAGAGAATATAAATCTAAAATGTAAAAAAAAATAGTTTTGTATTTTTTATACAATTTATATATTACCTGTTCTAATAATCCCTTTAAATCGCATTTGAAATTATGTGGTAGGGTGGGGTGGAAGTGGTTTCCAATGTAATCTTGAGCTTAAATGTCTAGGACAATTAGAAATCAGGCAAAACGAATCGAAAATCGAGATTCAGCGCCTGCCGCATTATCTTAAAACGCGTCGTAAAAATCACATTTCGCATTATAAAAATCAAGCTCTCGGGTCAGAGCCCAGCTGCTTCCCATATTGTACGGACCTGGCTACCGATCCATCCTTTCCATCCCAGCAACTTGGTCTGGTCGTGGGCAATGGTGGCCATTAAAATGGCTTTTACGAGCGCCAGAGCGCAGCTCATTGCCTAAGAGTCCGAGGACACGGACTGGGCCAGGTAAGCAGGTAAGCTGGCCAAGGATATTTTAGCCCGGTGTCGTCTTCGCCTCAGCTGCCTTTGACTGACTGTCAGACATTACAATGATTTTAATGGGTTTTATGGCCGAGACAGTGCGCCCATATGGGCGCTCTGGGATCGTTGGCATTAAAAATTGTTTAATGCTGCGCTCGGTCTTAAGCATATTACCAATGCAATATTGAATTTCAAACTAATTAACAACTATGCAGAAGAAATTTCTTCAAGTTGCCTGCCTAACTAATAAAATAATTATTTTTTTCCCTTTGTCTTTTCACAGCGATAATTAAGTAATATCAGCACCATTAGAATGGATGACTCTAACTTAACCAGCGCGGAACGGAAAATCCCAGCTTATGCAAAACGTTATTTAATATCTAACCAGGCTTTGACATAATTCCAACAAATTGTGAAAATCATAAAACACACCTAGATTATGAAAATGTAATCCCCCGTAAACCTTTTCAAATTGATCTCAAAAACTAAAAAAATAAACACACATAATTCTTAAAAATGGTGAACTTTAAGCATAAACAATGATGAATATGTTAGTAGTAGCTCTTGTATTGTATATAACACACACTTATTTTTTTAATGTTTATAAGCAAGAATATATCCAAGAATCTAATATCGATCAGCACAAAGTTAAAACATCTTTAAACCTACCATAGGCACAATTTTAAAATAACAAGTTCTAGTCCTAAGCATGAGCACTTAAATTCGAAATCGTTATTGTACAGCGAGCGATATAGCAAAAGGAAAGGAGTATCAGATTATTTTATTCAAAATTGTTCTATATATTATATATTGATATGAGATTATCAGCTTGAAACATATACATTTTATTTCAATCCTCTTAAGAGTACATTACATTTTTCTTGGGCTGTGCGCTGCCATGTGAAGAAAGCATGCGGTTTTTTATTACTTCGTGAGAACTGATCTGTCTGATCTGAAAATAGTGTAGCGTACTTTTCTAAACTTAAGAAAACACGGTTTTCTTTTATACATTAAACATTTCTTTTGTACAGTTTGACAAAAACCAAATATGTTATGCTATTCAGATTGTAGTGGAATTCGATTGTATCCGCTTAAAAAAAAAACGCGAAATATAAGATTAAGGATATCAAAACCTAGTAGAACACATTTCAATTTTAATGGAACTCACTATAAATCACCAAACACTTTAAATGGTATTCTAGTTAATTTTAATACAAAAGCTTCGAAACAAAGAACTAAAAACATAAAGAAAATTTACATTTATCTTGAATAAAAATTTCGCTGTAAATAAAATTGAATGCTGTTTTCTATGGAATGAATATGCAAGACGAAAACGTTGAACTTAAATAAAAATTTAAAGCATTTTGCACAATCTCACATCCCAAACAGGCCTTTAAGGTCGTCCATCGTGAGTTTGGAGCTAACTGTGGAACCTGTTAGGACACCTTCGGCTAGTTCCAATTTCTTATCCTGCAAGGCTTTGATCCGTTGCTCAACAGTGTCCACGCACATAAACTTGTAGATAATGACGTCTTTTTTTCTGTCCAACGCGGTAAATACGGTCCTGAGCTTGAGCCTCCAACTGAGGATTCCAGTGGAGATCCAAAAGCAACAGGTGATTAGCACCAACCAGATTTAAGCCCACACCGCCAGCGGTAAGGGAGAGCAAAAGAATGCGATTTGGGTTCTTGGGATCGTTGAACTTGTTCACGATGTCTTGACGGCTTTTCGCAGGAACGCTTCCGTTTAGCGACAGAGACGGCACACCGTCGTTTTCCAAGTAAGTGCGTAGAATGTTCAACACCGATGTCCATTGCGATACAACTATTGCTTTATCGTCCAAAGTATTCAGAATCGATGTCTTCAGAATTTTAATAACCTCGGAAATTTTAGAGGAGGGACGGTTTAGATCGAATACCGGGTTAGTGCGCTTAAGCAGATTTTTTGAGGCCTTGGCGATGCGAGCTTCATCTGCTTCCCAGAGAGGCGTCGTTATCGCCACCTCGAGCGGCCCCGAAAGGCTGAGACTCCGTAGAGGTGTCGGTAATGGCCAGTTTATTGAGCTGCGCTAACAAGTCGATTTCCGGCGTATCACTACTGTCACTATTGTCCATATTCTGGGACTCCTCCGATTCCAGCATCTAAAGAAATAGATACAATGTTAAGTTAAATGACCATGTAGAAGGTGTGGTTTCAACTTACCGCGTCGATTAACGCGGGATGACAGCATATCTGTCGCAGTCGCAGCAATAGTAGCAGGATATCATGAGCCTTGACCTCCCTGTTACCTCCGGCCATTTTGGAGAACTTTTCATGCATCTTATAATATGCGCCATTAGGGTCTTTAATTTGATTGTAGGTTGGTTTGTTCGCTTCGCTTCTGTAATTATAATCCGTGTCTCTTTCGGCGCGCCGATGGAGAAACTCAGCGAATAAAGTCCTGGAATAAGTCATCACAGTTTGGTAGACATTCATCTCTTCAGTGCCCAGCGAGATTTCCATCAGACGCATTTCTTTATTCGGCAAACTATTCAATTTGCCATCAATCTGCAGCTGTGCCTTCGTCCGCCTCAGCATAAGGGACTTCATGAGTAGATTGAGGCGGTTCTTTCCCACCAGCGCTCTTGTTGTCAATCCACTTCTTCCACGTGTTTAAATCATCGAAAGGAGAGCACCGCAAAAACTTTAAAAGTGCATATACATCCATCTCCTTGTTTTGAATAGGAGTACCGGTCAAAGCCCAACGATATTTGCCCCGCAAATCATTAACTGCCATCGATGACTGCGACTTGTGGTTGCGGATCACATGCGCCTCGTCCAAAATGATCCGACGCCACTTTACGCCAAACACGGCACTTAAACTCTTGTGCTCCCGGGCCACAATTTGGTACGTTGTCACGACAATGTCGTATGTACGAAGGTGCTTGCCTTTGGTCTCCCGATTGTTGCCATGGTGCACGCAAACGGTCAGCTTGTGACGTGACACCTTGGATTCCACTTCATTCTCCCATTGACGCAGTAAGCTGGCCGGGCACACTACCAAGGTGCCACCCTTGTGAGCTAAAAATTGTTAATAAATTTAAAAACAATTTATAGAGTAAGTATCCAACATGTACACTTCAAATTATGACACTTACAGTCTTTACGACCTTTTGAGGTCCATCCACCCTTTTGCTTTTTGCTTTTCTCATCCTCATTGTCGCTGCCGCTGCTCTGTTCGTCGTCTTCACTTGTCTCTTGGCGATTTTTGCATTCCAGCACAGATGAGATCATGGTCAGGGTTTTTCCCAAGCCCATATCGTCACCCAGAATTCCTCCGCGGGGAAGCTGACTTTCGCGCCATTTCATCCAGGCCAGGGCGTGCTTTTGGTGGTCCATAAGAGTTACCTTAAGACCCTTTGGATCCTCCGCCAGCACTTCTGGGCCAGGGCAATCCTTCAGTGAACCATGTAGGTCCTAAAAAGACAATAATTAGCTGGAATGCAGTTATCTGGAAGGAGCGGATTTGCCACTAACAAGATCAGAATAGGAATTTGTAATCTTAGCATGCTCTAGAAAAACCGCCGCACAGTAACTCGTGCCCAGCGACCTCCAAATTAAGCATGCTGCTCAGATATCCGTTCTGGCTCATCACATATACAAATAAATAATAGGCTAAAAAGTCGGAAAATACGACTTCTAGGTTGCTTTCTATCAAGCCAGATTCTGTATATAAGTAACCTATGTTACCTTCAGAGATTCCAGGGTTAGAGCCTTCTGGTTATTAAAGGTGGCCATTCCGATGGTGCCCGTGTAGACAGGCTGAATCTGATTGACCGCCGCCGACAACTCATCCCAGTCAGGAGTATCGATTGATGGGGCTTTGGGTGGATTAAAAATTCCTTTAGCCACCTTGATGGCGGGTGCATTACTCGGTTCCACCTTTAACTTGTTGACATACTGCTCAGCGACTTCAAGCTCGGCGCGCAGGATGCTGATACGCTTCTTAATTTGGCTGCCATTGTCGGGCAGTTTATGGGCCACCTTCTCGTACAGTTTCTCCGTATCGGTCACCTGGACACGCTTCTCCGCCAATTTGCGCATCTCCTCCTCGTAAACAACCTGGCTGACTACCATAGTGTTTTCGCTTTTTACACGTAAATTACTTGAGTCGGAGGGTAAGGTCTTTTGCTTGAGGGCCGCCAGTATTGTGGGCTGGCTTAAATTCTTAGTGGACTGGACCAATGAACCACCAGCAGCGTTTCTTGGCGAGAAGGATCTGGATGGACGCACAACTGAATGTCCCAACATATTTTCCTTGTTGTTACTGGCGTCTTCATCTGTACTGGATGATATCTCGATCGTCGTGTCCTTGTTGCTGAGAATGAGCACGTCACTGCCACTGGAGTCGTCCAGAACTTGAGGATCAGCTTGAATCGGTGCGATTGTCGAGTGCAGAGCGTCCTGGATATTGCCAGCAAACTGAGTAGTGTAGCGCGGAACTATAGCGGGCGTCGGGGTAGTTTCCTGGGCCACATCACTGTATTCAATCTCGCTGTCTTCATCGCTTAGATCCTGGGGTCGCACCCCAGTAATACTCATACGCGTACAGGGAGATAGTGCGCGCTGTTCCACCTCCTCGTCCTCATCTTCACTATCAGATGGTATTTCCAATGGCTTCTTTCTGGATCGCCTGATAGGCGGTCGAACGCTGACGTCTCCAGAGTCATCGGATTCGTGCGATACCTCAGATTTTTCTGATTCACTTGCTTCCTCTGAGTCCGCCGACTCAGCAGACTCCTCGGATTCGTCCGAATGTTCTGATTCCTCCTCTGTTTCCGTTTCATCTATAACCACGCCACCTCCGTTGCTATTGTGGCTGCTGGGGCGCGAGGATTTGCTAAGGCGCGAGGATTGGCTAAGCCTAGAGGATTTCCTAAGCCGCGAGGATTTACGTGATTGCCCTAGATCCCATGAAGAGTAATCGAAGTAAGTACCACATCCAATCCCCACTATGTATTACATACCTAAGCTCGTGTTGTCTACCACAGAATCCTCTCCCTCGTCACTATAGAATTGTTCGCTTTCACTGCTCATAGTTATTTATGTAGATATTTTACAAAAATGCTCTAAAAATCAGGCGCCATTTAATTCAATAGCAGTGTGCGAAGTGTGGCCAGACAATATCGATATGTCGTACTATGCAACTGTGTGGAAATAAAAACGGATTTATTTAAATATAAGACTGTAAATTTTTTTGGTTATGCTATTTTCGCTGCCTGAATCAACATTTATGGTCTTATAAAATAAAATTAGAACTGTCATTAAATACAAAAAAATAAAAACAGCACTAAAAGAATTTGTTCACCCATTTTTTCCAGATGCGGTTCTGTGTAGACTGGACTACCCCTAACTTAGGCAGATTTGATACTATCGAAATTCCATTTATCGATTACACAGTGACCACAAAATTTTCTACAAGTTTAAATGCGCACTTTATAGCACGAGAATGGCGCCAGGCAGTAAGGTCAAAGTAAGATTCATAAAGCTTTTTAATTAAGCTTAATTTAATCCTTTTTTAGGGTCACATAGTCCGATCCCGAAATCGCCACCCTGTTGCAGTTCGTCGGTGGTCAGAAGCCTAAATAACTCCTCTTGTGAGTACGAAAAGTCTTCGGATTATCCAATAGAAATTTTTTCGTCATCTGAAGATGATGAACAACCATGCAGCTTGCAAGATCAGACAATCTTTGACTTTACGGTAAGTCCTGATGAAATTGGCAATCAGCAGGAACCAGATGATATAGTTTTGGAATTGTCTAGTGGTAAGAGGGTGAATCAACGGAAGCCACTATGTGTCAGTTTTATTTATTTTTCCAACAGAATATGCAAACAATTCAGATGCAATCTTCGTCAGTGCATCGGAGTACTTTGAAAAGAAGAAGCAAATCGATCAGCTAGTGCAGAATGTGCTTACATTAGAGCTAACGCAGCGACAACTGGAAGAGAATGGGTCTAGCGGCAAAGAGCTTATCGAAATAAAATCACGTCTGGAGAAGTTTAATGCACGCCTGGTGGCACTAGGCGAGTTTCTGGACACGCTGCGCGTGGAAGAGGATAAGACGGCGATCAGAATCAAAGAGGAGCCCGAGCAGATTGTCCAGTTCGAACAACCCCAGTGGTCCAATCTATACTCTGGCCTGAACCGCTACCGTCACAAGTCCAATCACTCTTCAGCCGAGTTCTATCAGCATAAGAGCAACATAATCGAAAGCCTGAAGGTAGTATAGTAGTATATCCTGACTTAAAAGTGTGTTTTGGTAACTTAGGACCTGTTCGGTTTGATTTTGAAAGAATTCATTGACGTTTTTAGTTTCTTCTTTCTTACAATTGCAAATACTAGTGCACTGCATAGGTCCATAAAAATCCAGAACATTTTGGTGTACTTAACGTGCTTCTGGAGTCAACAAATTCTATTTATCATTTATAATTAAACTATTATTTATTTATTTAGATTTTGTATGAGCCTTCTGAGCCAAGTTCTACGTACGTGGACTTGGAGAAGCAACCTGCACTTCTGACGGTCCGTCTACTAAAGCATCAACAGGCTGCCCTGAAATGGATGCAGTTCCGCGAGCGACAGAAGATAAGTGGCGGAATCCTTGCCGACGACATGGGTCTGGGAAAGACTCTGTCTATGATAGCCCTGATTCTTGCATCACTGGAAAGTAAAAATAAAAAACGGGAAAAGAAGCAGCGTGCTTTAGAGCTTCAGTGGACAGAGGAGTTTAATCGATTGAAGACCAAGAAAATCCGAACTTTTCGCTTGTTCGATGATGATGAAGAGGAGTCTGCAAGAAGAAGAAAAATACGAGCCACCAAAAAAGCGATTATGTGAGGCTAAGAGTAAGAAAATGGCAAAATCTCCCACTTTTGATAAAGAAGACAAATATGGAGAGGAAAAAGAAAAGAATGAGCCGACAGTAAAGTCCCCCGAACCCTTAGAATTCAGTTCAGATGAAGACGATTTAAAAAACGAACGCTACCCTACAGCAGGCACATTAGTTGTGTGTCCTATGAGCGTGATGTGTCAGTGGGCCCAGGAAGTGGTCTCTAAGGTGGCAGCGAATGGCATCAAGGTTCTGACATATCACGGTGCCAATCGTCGTGATATTGGGTTACAGACATTTAGGAGCTACGATTTGGTCATTACGTCATATAATCTTGTGGTAAGCGAGCTTAAGCGATTTGGAATCGCTTCGCTGCTGTTCGCCGTTCACTGGAATCGGGTGATTCTAGACGAAGCCCATATCATTCGGAACGTTAAGACCAGTTGCTGTTACTCAATTTGCCAGCTGCGAGCCCGTTGTCATTGGGCCTTGACTGGAACTCCTGTCCAGAATCTAGCCTTTGATGTTTTTGCCCTACTACGCTTTCTGGAAGTGCCAAACTTTCAGGACCTTCAGCAATGGAAAAGGTATTTAAACGAAGGCATGCCCGGTCACCGCCGTCTGAAATTCATCATTAAGCCTCTAATGCTGCGCAGGACAAAACAACAACTGCAGGAGTCGGGTGATATGCCTGCACTGCCTCCTATAAAAATTGAACTTATCTGCGTGCAGCTCTCAAAGCAAGAGATGTCTGTGTACCAGATCTTGTCTGCCATCTCCCAAAGGATCTTTTTGCAGTTTCTGCTGCAACGCGAGAAGGGAAATAGCGACTTAAATTATTATTCTCTAGAAAGGACGCCGCAGTTTATAAACGAAAAAATATTGGATCCAAAGTACATGGAAATCTACAACAGATTTCTGAGTTCGCTGGGCTACCATCCGGGAGAAAAGATACATGGTATAGTTATCCTGGTGCTGCTCCTGCGCTTGCGACAGTTTTGCTGCCATCCTGGTCTAATGATTGGGGTATGTTTTATTATTTACTTATACTGCCTAATAGTTTTACTAAATAAAAATAAATTGTATTTTCATCTTCTGTTAGATGCTGTGTGGTGCTATGACCGCCGAGGACATCCACAACGTGAGGATGGATGCCACAGGTGTAGAAGGTCAGCTTAAGCTGGATGTCCTTAATGAGTTGGACAAATACGGCAAACCCGCTGATGAAAATGATTTAACTGACGAAGAAAACAACTTTCCAACAAAAATCAAGCTGGAAAACATAAAACATGAGACAGACCTCAGTGAAATTAAGGAGGAGAAAATGCCTTGGGATATGGGAGATGAAGAAACATTGTCCAGTTCATCGGAGTCACTAGACTCGACCATAGCTGTCAAGCTGCTTAATCCTCAGAATCCCATCTTTGATTTCGCCTGCCCTTCTGCCAAACTAAAGTTAGTCATTGATAAGCTAGAGGAGCTCCTATCAAGCACCAACGACAAAATCATTGTTACATCTCAGTGGTTGAACTATCTGGCCATCATTCGTAACCGTCTGCAGGATCAGTCATGGGAAGTACTTGACTTCACTGGCTCGATGAGCGCCAAAGATCGCGAAAGTGTACTTCGAGAGTTTAACGAAAATAATGACAAGCGGGTTCTCTTGCTTTCCCTCACCGCTGGCGGTGTGGGACTCAATCTCAACGTGGCCAATCATATGCTAATGGTGGACCTACATTGGAACCCGCAACTGGAGCGGCAGGCTCAGGATCGTATCTATCGTTATGGTCAAAAAAAGCCTACATTCATTTATCGGTATATGTGCCAGGACACCGTGGAACAGCGAATTAAAGCGTTGCAAGATTACAAGCTTGAAATTGCCAAAGTGGTGCTTCCAGAGGAAGAGGGGGGATTGTCTGGACGCGGGGGCGGTGGTATCAACCTTAAGGAGCTACAAAAACTCTTCGCAATGTAAGATAAGCCAAGTTTTTTGTTCAATTTAAATTTTCCTTTGAACCAAAGATATAATTTAAGGGTTTTCAACCTATTCAATGTATTACTAGTAATAATCATGTTATTGCGTTAAATAGTTTTATGTTAAATTCCATCTTTTTGTGTTTGCGTATATACTTTATTTTGGAGCAAAAAATAAAAGTTATGTGCAGCAACTGTTATTAGAGTTAAGTATGAAGATATAAATGTGTATTTATTTAACAGTGGAATGTTTATATAATTTCTTAAATTTAATAACCCGAATACGAATAATAAAAATTGTTACATTTCTACATGTTTGGTTTTGAAAATTAGAGAATATTGGAGACTGGTGGTACATTATTTAACGAAGTTCTTTTCTCTCCACCTAAATAAAAAATTAGCCACTTTCTTATGACTTATAAGGGAAAAGTTATATAATGGAATACTAGATCTTCTTTAACAATAACTTGAACGTTAATCAAACTTTTTAAATAAAAATAAATTTATCACATTCATTTAGAATAGTAACTTTTAAAAAAATAAAGTCAGATAACAGAAACAATTTCGTTCATAACGAAAATACTTATTCGAGGATTACAAATCAGAGATCATTAAAAACTAAAATTGTAAGTTTCCAGTTAACAAATAATTGTCGAATTCAAGAAATTAGTGTTTCAAAAAGTGTTTAAAGGGCATCTGACCTACCAGCTTTAATCTTTTGTTGTTTTCCAAGAACGAATCGACTGGCAATCCGTTTAGACAAGATTTTTTCTGGGATTGATATCAAGTTGTTACTGTGAATTCGTTTTTTATGCCTTTGCAAATAAGTCATATCCAAAAATACCAACGAGCATAATTCGCAACGGAATAGATTGTTTTCTGAGCGAAATATTCCAGGTGTATCACGTTTATGGATATGCATGTGTCGATTAAGGCTGGAGTTGGCAGAAAAGTTCTTTAGGCAAATATGACAATAAGTTTTCCTGTTGGTTATAAAGCTTAATTACAGATAATAGAATGTCAGCTAAACTCAAATGCGCACTTACTTGTCCACTCCGAATGAGTTAATTTTCGGATCTATATTAGCATTATGATTCCACTTTAATGTCGTATCATCGTTTATTTCGACTTCAGTTTTCTCGCGGTTGCTTCTTTGAAGACATTTAATATGTTTTGGAGGATTCTTTTTGCTGAAATTGTCAAATAAGTAAATGTATTTACTGCAAGCTTAATATTTTAGAATGTTATGAGTTCTTATATTCTCTTTGGCGGAATAGGTCTCCGATCTGAAATCACATGGTTAACTATCGGATTGGAATAATAATGGATGAATCAATGTTATACTGCATAATTTCAAACTTACGTCTTAAGCAAGTCTGGACTCTTAGACGCGTCTCTAAACCTAGTCTTTATACATTCTAGTTTCATATCTTCTTCCCGGTCACTATCTTCCGAGTCTATTTCTTTTGCAGATTCAGATTGAAAAGATTCTCCCTTCAATATGTGCTCCCTCTGATGGATAATGAGCTGAAGGCCTTCAATGAACTCGGCAGAGCATTGGTTGCAGGATAGCGGACCGTCCCTGTCGTGGGTCCGAAGGTGATTTCTGCGGTAATCCTTTCGTATAAAAGTCTTCGGGCAGTGACTATGCGTTGGGTTGCTAACATGATTTAGTAGATGTCGCTTTAGTGTGTATTTATGTTTATAGGCGCGTGAGCAATAGGGGCACCTGGGGCACAGCTCAATGAAGTGGCTCCTCAGCGGAATCTGTGAATAAAACCTATTAGCACAGTGCGGGCACTTGTAGTAAGTATTGGCATCGCAATGCACCTGTCGGTGCTTTTCAGTCGTACTGAAAATGAAAAAGTTTAAAGTTTATAAAATGGTGTAGTACGACTTATCATTAGTTACCTCCCCAAATAAACAGTCTCCATTGCTTTTCCATCATCGCTCGTCTTTTTATTTGTATATTCTTGTTTTATTTCGTGGCTAAATCAGTTGTTTTTGAAAATAATTAAGAAACATTTTATGACATTCAAGGCTAGAATAGAAAATAGTCTTACTCTGGAGATTTCTTCGAGATCTCTTCCGGCTGCTTTCTTTTGGAACTAGTCCGCCTGCCAAGATATGGTTTGGAACAAGTTCTATTCTTTTGGATCTTGGTTTGCGGTATCTGTATATTATCAGGATCTTGAAGCTGATCCAAATCGCTTTGGATCTGCGCTTCCTTATTCGGATCCTGTTGACAATCGCTATCCAAAGAAACCGACTTGTTCAGCAGCCTGCAGAAGTGCTGGTAGCTACGTTCGCTTCTCCACTTAAATCGAAAGGCATTCTGGGCGGCAACGACGCAGGGCAGACACATGTACTGCGGCAATAGATCTCCGCGTTCCACTGGACGATTGGTGCACTGGGTCAGTGTGTGTGACAGACTCATTACGGGTTTGTCGAGTGCTGGATCACGGACATCGGCGAAGATATCCACCAGGGTGGTGGTATCGTTCATACAAGTTCGGCACAAGTTATTCATGATTTATTATCTGTAACTTTACCCACTACATCATTTTCCATCTATAATGTCATAACATTTACTTATGATGTTCCGCTAAGCATTTATTAAATAACATATGCAATAGACATGTGTCTTACAGTTAGTCTTCTCTGGTAATTCATAAAATTAAACTGTACTTATAGTGAAGGAGTATGCGTAAGTCGGATCTTTCTCGCTTTATGGCGAATGGCTGCAACGAGGGCTTCACATCTAGTTCTTAAAATCGAAAAAAGCAAAGTTTAATAAGATAAATATACAACAATAAAATAATAAATAAAATAAATACACAAATATAACAAAATATAAAACGAGAAAAGGTTACTAATTTTTGTTGGATTTATTTATTCTTATACTATTTGTATATATACATAATTCGACCTATAATTCTAATTTATACAAAAATATACGAATATGTATGTATCTTGTAAATGAATGTATTAAACGCTTATATTCATGAATATGAGACTGATACGGATGTAAATTTACAAAAATATACTAATTGAAATATAAATATTATATTAAGACTATTTTTTAAGGGTAATATTAAATATATTTGAATATCAAATAATATATGTATATATTGAACCCCTTCACATTCAATTTGCCTACACACATGCTTTAAAAAACTGGCCCAAGTTGGCAGTCCGCGGCAAACAGCTGATTACATTCTGATTGCTGAACGTTTGTGTGTTTATGAATATTATGCCGATCAATGGAAAGAGCAGTAGTTATGTGAGTGGCTAGGCGGCAATCACAACTTAAACACTCTGAAGAGAACCCCGCTTATTCCCCACCAGACTCGATAAATTGGCCCACTACGCTTTGCGGTCGCAGAAAATTCCGCAAATCAACAGCCCGTTAGCCTGTGGGAATCACTTCAAGCGCCACCGCAGCACATTTGGGTCAGAGTCCAAGGAAATACAGAAAATGCTAAGCCAACTACCTCTGTTCGCCGGAGGCGAGATAGTCCGAGGATTCGGACGCGGCTCCAAAGAACTGGGCATCCCAACAGGTTGGTGGCGACGTCAAGTGAATCCCGAAGGTCATTGCTAATTGATTATCAAACCACTTGTTAGCAAACTTTCCGCTGGAGGTTGTGAAATCACTGCCCGAATCACTGGAAACAGGTGTGTACTACGGCTGGGCCAACGTGGACGGAGGACCCGTATACAAAATGGTCCTTAGTGTCGGCTGGAATCCCTTCTACAACAATAAGGAGAAAAGCGTGGAGACGCACATGCTCCACGACTTTAACTGTGACCTGTACGGACAGATACTTAAGATCTGTATTGCGGGATATCTACGTCCCGAACGCAGTTTCGACTCCCTTGAAGCGCTAATAGCCGCCATTCGTACGGACATAGAGCAGGCCAAAGGGTTCTTGGAGGAAGAGGATAAGACCAAGTTAAAGGAGGCTCCGTTCTTCACAGAAAAGCTTTACACTTCGAAATAGCGATTTCGAACGTTTTCCTGGACAAGGCGGCCCAGCTGAAGGAGGCTCAACTATTCATCGAGAAACTCTGCCCCTGGAATTAAATATTCCACAAGTTATCTTATCACTCAATTTGCACGATGTACAAAGCGGAATTCGAATATCGATTCAAGTACTTAAGTTGGCTGTTTTCATTAAATTCCGATTTCCTCATCATGACACCGAACAATAATACCAATCGCATTTAACTTTTACACCAATCAGATTTATAAACTAAACATGTTGTTTAAAACTTATTACAGTTATATCTTACCTAATAAAAGGTACGATTTATAACTTCATAATGACTGGTATATTTTCCACTTACAAATTTCATTGTTAATTCTTTTATTAATGCAATATTATTTAAATTGGGTGTAGATAATTCTATTTGCCGTATTTTTGCAAATTAAGAAATATTAAAATCGGTATTCCAATAGCTATATCCTTAAATATTGATTAAATTTATACAAAAATACAGCAAACAAATAAAAAAAAGTTTTTTTAAATTTGCTTAACCTTGAATGTGGTTTTTATATGTACCTACATGAGAATAAGCATTATAGTTATTCCCAATTAGTATTCAAATAAATATACATTTCAATTATTTAAATTTTAATATGTTAATATGAAATGTAAATTCAAATAAGGGTTATGAAAGGATGTTTTTTTATATCAGTCTACACTTTTAAAATTCCAATTTGAAAATACAGAAAATCGTTGGAATGATTGGCTATCGATCCAGGGGCACCAACAACTATCGATAGCAGAGATCGATCGATATTAGGCTTGATCTCGTCCGATTTCGGAAAAACCAAGCTGCGCGTGCGAGCGTGCTAGGATTTTTCTTGTATAAAACAGTTGCGTAAACCAACAGGTAAATCAGATCGACGCTAGCTGCGCCACAAACTGCAATTAGCCACCTTTAATTACCATATTGCAAATATTTCCCAGCAGCAACATGTCAGCGCCCCAGCAGCAGCAACAACATGTGCGCGTGGTTGAACAACAACAGCAACAACAGGTGGTACCAGCTGAGGGGGTGACCTCCACTGTGGAATCGGAATCCAATTCCATCTCGGCCAGCAAGGAGCTAACCGGTTTGACGCACGAGTGCGGTGTTTTCGGAGCCATTGCTTGTGGAGATTGGCCCACCCAGATGGACATTGCTCACGTGATCTGTTTGGGACTGGTTGCACTGCAGCATCGCGGCCAGGAATCCGCTGGCATAGCCACCAGCGAGGGTAATTGCTCCAAGAACTTCAATGTGCACAAGGGCATGGGCATGATCAGCACCCTCTTTAACGATGACTCCATGAAGAAGCTACGCGGAAACCTGGGCATCGGACATACGCGCTACTCCACCGCTGGCGGATCGGGAGTGGTAAACTGCCAGCCCTTTGTGGTGCATACTGCTCACGGAGCTCTGGCCCTGGCCCACAATGGCGAGTTGGTCAACAACGAATCTCTGAGGAGGGAGGTATTGGCCAGAGGCGTGGGTTTGTCTACCCACAGCGACAGTGAATTGATTGCCCAATCGCTGTGCTGTGCCCCAGAAGATGTATCCGAACTCGACGGACCCAACTGGCCAGCCAGAATTAGGCATTTCATGATGCTGGCTCCACTCTCCTACTCACTGGTTATCATGTTGAAAGACAAGATCTACGCTGTAAGGGACACGTATGGCAACAGGCCGCTGTGCATTGGCAAGATCGTGCCTATCAATGCGGGACACGGTAATAAGTCCGATACCCCAGCTGATGGCTGGGTGGTTTCCAGTGAGAGCTGCGGATTCCTCTCGATCGGAGCTAGATATGTCCGCGAAGTGGAACCCGGAGAGATAGTGGAGCTCTCGCGGAGTGGCTACCGTACGGTGGATATCGTAGAACGACCCGACTTCAAGCGCATGGCGTTTTGTATATTTGAATATGTTTACTTCGCCCGTGGAGACAGTATCTTCGAAGGTCAGATGGTCTACACAGTGAGGCTGCAGTGCGGGCGGCAGCTGTGGCGAGAGGCTCCTGTGGAAGCGGATCTCGTAAGCTCCGTTCCAGAGTCCGGTACAGCGGCGGCCCATGGCTACGCACGTGAGTCTGGTATTGAGTTTGCTGAGGTTCTCTGTAGGAATCGGTACGTGGGACGAACTTTTATTCAACCCTCCACCAGGTTGCGGCAACTGGGAGTGGCCAAGAAGTTTGGAGCCCTGTCTGAGAACGTGGCTGGCAAGAGATTGGTACTGATAGACGATTCTATCGTGCGCGGCAACACCATTGGACCCATCATCAAGCTGCTAAGGGACGCAGGCGCCAGGGAAGTACACATTCGCATTGCCAGCCCACCGCTGCAGTATCCGTGCTATATGGGAATTAATATTCCAACTAGAGAGGAATTGATTGCCAACAAACTGAACGCCGAACAGTTAGCCAGGCATGTGGGCGCCGACAGTCTGGCTTATCTAAGCGTTGAGGGGCTTGTGGAAGCTGTGCAACTGAAGAATCGAGATGCAGGAGATGGCAAGTCTAAACCCACGGGTCACTGCACCGCCTGTCTTACAGGTGTCTATCCCGGTGGACTTCCTGATGAGCTAAGTTGGTGATCCCGGCTGAAGGCTGGTCGCTGAAAGTTTGAAAAGACTTTTGGAAACTAGTTTTGCACATTTTTGCCAACTACACAACAAAAAAAGTTACGCATGCAGTATGTAAAGCCTCAGAGGGCTCCGAATTGCTGTCACAAATTTTGCATTTAGTTTATCTAGCATTACAGCCCACCCATTCCTTTTTACACACTCTACCTTCTTAGATCTTAAGTGAAAAGCCCACGTGCTTCCTCGAACTAAAAGACACTGATTAGAGTCTGGTTTTGTCTCTGGAACTTCACGCTCATAGTACAAAATATAACACTCTATGTTTCCCATCTTGAATATCTTTAAAATTTGTTGATTGAGAATGCCAATAATAAAGACATTTAGACTACGATCGCCCAAGGCTTTAAGGTCTAACTTATTTCTTGTACATGGAAACACCTTGAAGATATAGAATTACGTATTCGATATCGTCCAGTTCAGGCCAAGGTATGTTCAATCAGCCGATGCCAATGGCCCACGCAGTAATGCATCAAGTAGATCATGGGTAACGCATTTAGCAGTTTTGATATGATTCTACTGAATTCCATATGACTATTATGTTATTATTGATTGTTGATAAGTCTATTATATGACATAACTCTATAGATAAAAAGAGTGAGTTTTCTTAAATGGTGACTTGCAAAAAATTAAATAACTGATAGCTAAGAAATTATAATCCTTAAGAAAATATTGATAAGCCAAATGATTAAGCAGAATTTCTTGGTATAGGCATAGGTCATTGCCTAGTTTCAGTTCATACAGTTCGCGGATCGGATTTGTGTGATTAATTAATATATATTTTTATTAATCTCTAAAAAAACATTTTAATAACTATATATAAGCTTATGCTAGTGTACAAAGAGTCGAACTAAATTAAACATTTCCTCTTAAGACTCCAGCATATTCTCAAAGTCCTTCAGCTCCAATTCTCTTTCAATAACCTGTGTGTATAGATTATCAAGGGTTTCCTGCATACGTTGCTTGAGCGTGGCATTCTGGATGGAGGCGATTTCTGTGGATTTCTGCATTTGCTGAGCTTTCAGATCACTGATCTGTCGCGTCAATTGACTGATCTTCTGGTGCACTTGTTGTTGCGAGTATTGTGGCTGTGGCTCGTCTATGAACTCCATGTTCTCAAACTCCTCTCGCTTTGTCAGCATCTGGTTGTCGTAGAATCCACTGGGCGCGGCAAGATTGGAACTAGAACCGGCTGCACTTAACTTGGGACTGCTGGCGTCACGGCCAAACATGGATTTGCTGAATTCGTTTTGTTCCATTTTTAGGCCGCCAGCTCCGGTATTACTGCCACTTGCACCAAAGAAGTCAGACATGCGAGAATCATCCGCAGATAGGCGAGACGATTCTTCCATCTCCCGTCGTTGCATGGTATTATTACCACGGTCCGGCTCATCTTCGTCATCCGTGGTGGACACCTCTTCGCCAAAGATGTCGTGGGCAGCCACTCCCATGTTAGGCGCCCGGTGGGAGGGAAAGTTGCTGGCTTCATCGTCATCGGACTCAACATTAATGTCCCGCTGTGAGCTCATTTCCATCATCGTTTTATCGCTTGCATGCATTGTGGTTTCATCCTGCAGCATGTCATCCGCGTCGTTATATGGCTTGACATCCGTTTGATCCAAGTCATCCATAGGCTTATCCTCCTCGTTAATGATTTCGTAGTCTACTCTGACTGCTTCGTTATCGATGCGGAGGAGGTGCTTTACTTCTTTCTCAATTTCGGGAGCTTCGACATTTTTTTTCTTTAAAGTTTTGCGGAATCGACGTTTTCGGACATTCTTGCAGGGTGGGGTAATGCCGTGGGGAAACAAGTACTTTTTGTCCACCTTGTTCGGGTCCTTCTTCTTGTTCTTGTTTGGTGACTCTTTTTCAGTTTCGTCCTCCGGCTCTTCCTTGCAAATGAGTATTTGACAGATATCTGCCGACTTGTAAAAGCTCTTGTTATCAATGGTCTTGTAGCTTTCCACGACAGTGGGCAGATCCACAAGTTTCGTGTACAACAGTTGATCATCTAGTCGCACTTCGCCGTATCTTAGATCCTGATCCAGTTGAATGGTCAGACGATCTTTCACGGTTCCAGCGTTAATTGCCTCATGTACACTATCTGCCAGTTCCTGCAGATTTACAGGGAAACAGATTATATTGCTTGATGTAAACAAAGAACTGTGTCTTACCTTTGGTATACGCAAGATAAACTGGCTTTCTAGTTCCACGCCATCATCACGCGGCTTATGTTCACCCTGCTTAACCTTGTCACTTTTCTTTTCGAACATTTTTATTAGGTTTTATTGGGCTAAAACCAAGATTTTACTAGAAGAATTGAAATCTTTTTAGTTTTAGGCCTAATAGAGATGACACTGATGGCACCGCTAGTGGTGGTAATCAACTTACATTTGATGGCTTTACTTACGATGTTTTTTAGGAGTGTTCTTACTATTGCCGCAATTTAAGTGGTTGTATAATCACTGGATATAGAGGTGTTTCTAAATGCCCTTACACCTAAGTATACGTATATATGTATAACATATATGCATCTATCTCTATACTACGGTATAATATAAACATAACAAGGTTTTACCATTTGCAAGCATTTCGTTAAAAAATATTCTATTGTAATTATATCATATATAACAAATATTCATTTTTTATTTTTTATTGGTTGTGTGCAGAAGGTATAAGAATTGTTTTGAAAATCGGAAAAAATTCGATAAGATATCGATAAAAAAGTAATAGCCAACCCTGCTCCAATTTCTCCTTCTCATCCCTGACGGAAAACACGAAATTAATGTGGATTTCTATTAATTTATAACATAAAAAGTCATCGGAAGTTGAACAATTAGAGCTCGCGTGAGTCTAAGGGGAGACAGCAAGGCGGACGACATGCAGCAGAAGTGGTTATTAACCGGTCTTTCGGTGGCGCTCCTATTGGGCACCTGCTCTGCGCTGTACGAAGACCAGATCAAAAAATTCGACTGGTGAGTGTGGCCCGATAACTGACCATTGACCCGGTGTTGATCCGGCGAAATAATTTGTTGCTTCTGCAGGAGAGGCGTGAATGTGGGTGCACTAAAGCACTCTCGCGTGGACCTGAACCATTTTCAGCCGCGTATTCTGGTCAGCACTCATGAGGGAGTTGTGGCCAGCTTGTGCGTAAAGACCGGCGAACTTGTGTGGCGTCAGGTGCTTGAACAAAAACCGCGCGGTGACATCAAGCTGCTCCAGGTGAGCGGATTCTCTGATGACAGTAGCGACACGGCCGCAGCTCCTGTGGGCAGCAATTTGGTTTTCGACATGCTTACCGTCCAGGGACATGCACCTGCTTTGGTGCGGGGCTGGAACACCAACATCGGCGCACTCGAATGGGAATGGTCCATCATGCCGCTGAACACGGAACGGGCTCAAGAGGCGCTGTGGTTCTACAGCAAATCCGTGCTCTACCACGTACTGCCCGCCTGGCGGAGCCACCTGGAGGTCACCGCGTACTTTGCCAGCTCAGGTCACAGCACTGGCAGCACCAGCAAAGTAATGGCCTCCTGGATCACCCCGGAGAGCTGCTCACTTAGCGGTACTTTCTACGTATGTTTGGATGGCAAACAATTAATTAGCCTGGATTTGGTTTCCAAGAGCGGACAGTTGATTCGTACTTCACTTGAGTCAGAGCCAAAGGGAAATCTTCAGTCCTTATCGGTAAGAAACTCCATTTAGGACTTCTTAAATTAAAATAAATTTTAAGATTTTATAATTATTCTTCACTAAATATTTCGTTTATAAGAAGAATAGATATTGATTATATACAAATTCATAATTTATATAAAAGAAAAACATTTCTTAGCTTAAATTTTAATAGTGCTGAATAATTTAATTGTTACTGTTAAACACAGGAAAATTTAAAACATGAATACAAGATTTCTTAACTCATTTTTACAGGGTTTTAATGGAGTTGTTATTGTGGATGGCAAACTTGTCAGTGTCAACAAGGACCAATCCGTCTGCAGTGGTCTGCAAAGTTCCAGCTACGCCGTGGGAAGCTTTAACTACCGTAAGATCTTGGCATACGCCGATCTGTCCTCTGGAGTAGGTTTAAACCTTTGAATATTTATGAAAGGTTTATTAATTACTTTGTTTTGGTAGATTCTTAAGATTAATTCCGTTTATCTGGATAACTGCGCACCGGCGACTGAGTTGGAACAGAGTTTACCTTTCCCAGCACATTTTGGTACTCCATCGCTGAACAACTTCGACTGCAAGCAGAAGAGAAGTGGCGAAGGCAAGAGTTGCCTGTTCCTGTTCAGCACCAGCTCCGATTCCATTGTTGCCGTGCAGAATGGACGCATCCGTTGGTCGCGAGAGGAAGCGCTTGCCAATGTGATTGATTCGCAGTTTGTCGATTTGCCTTTGGCTGATACTGAGGGTACTTTAGAGAGCGAGATGAAGGGCAAAGCCGGTGAGTGTTCTATTTTTAGTTATTATCATAAGCTCAATTCATTTAAATTTAAAATATTTATTCTTAAAAATTCATACCAAAGGTGATTTCACAAGTTTCGAGAGTAAGTGAATTTCCATAACAAATTAAGGCTTTATTTTTTTTAAATTTATAAATTTTTTATGTTTATAGTTTGTGACAGAAGTTTTACATATAACCACAATCAATTTAAGAAAAAAGTTAACTAATACTCCTATGCATGCCCTTTCATCTGCAGTCTAATTGCTAAATTCGCTATAACAACTGTTCTATGTTCTGTTAAGCACTTGGATCAATATTTAGTTATTTTTGTTGTTTTAAAATCGTACTATGTGAATTACAAGTTATTTAACTATTTGAATTTCTAGTCTGTTTAGTTTTGTTCTATATATCAATTGAACTGTGAATTTTACAACGATTAATTGGTTTTTTATTTAAACAGGAGACATTCTTAGTGCCTTTTTGCGTCGCATCACTACGCAAGCTGTTCAGATTAGAAGCTTAGTCCTTCATGTCATCGGTCTGGGACCTCCGCCAACGGATACCCAGCGAGCTGGCCTGGTTCGGGATTCATTTGGTCTCCACAAAATGTTGGTTATACTTACGCGTGCTGGGAAGATCTTTGGCATTGACAATGTCTCAGGAAAGCACCACTGGCAGCTGTATCTTCCCAATGTCAATGGATTTGCTAATGACGAACAGATGCGTCTTATTGTCCAGCGTTCGGCCAAACACTTCCCGCTTCAGCCTTTGTGCACAATTTTGGGCAAAGATTCTGTAAGTCTGAATGATTATTCACAAAGACTCTTAGCTAATGTATTTCTGTAGGTCAATGGCAATGGAGTGCTCTATCGCTTTAATCCCATCACTGGACAACCCGTTGAAGGCGGTCTTATTAATCTGGACTACAAAATAAAACAGTTATCGTTGCTGGGAGAAACCGAAAAGGACTTTGTAAAGGGCATTCTGTTGTTAGATGCTTCAAATCAGGTCCATGTGTATCCTCAACATGCGACACCATTAGTAAGAAACTAAATTTTATAGCAAACTCAATATAGTTATAAACTAATAACTTTCTTTTACAGGCTGATGGTATGTATCTGTATACAGCCGATGTGAAAACTGCAGAGTTATCCGGTTACTTTGTCAAATATGCAGGCGGTGTAAGTATTGCAAATGACAAACCCATGGGAAATTATCTAATTAAATTATTTCCGTCAGCAATTGACGAGCACGCATATTTGGAACGCTCGTCTGGGAGGCCACAACTCTGAGCAGCAGATTATCGGTGTTGCCGCCAAGAATCCCATCGAGCATGTCCACTCCCAGGGACGAGTGTTGGGAGATCGATCGGTGCTGTATAAGTACATCAACCCCAATTTAGTGGCCTTTGTTACTCAGGCGCCGGATGCCACACACAAATGTAAGTCTGCATAAGCTTCGTTTAAATTACAATCTATTAACATGACGCCTATTCCACAGCTGTGCTTAACTTGTATCTGGTTGATGTGGTGTCCGGCTCGGTAGTATTCACCATGACACATCGCAAGGTGCGTGCTCCATTAAGTATTGTTCACTCAGAGAATTGGCTGGCCTACTCCTACTTCAATGAGAAAGTGCGACGCACAGAGATAAGTAAGTTAAACAGACATTTGTATTCTGCGCATATTGATTAATCTTGATCTGTCTTATAGCCACCATTGAATTGTATGAGGGTAAGACCCAGGCGAACAGCAGTGTTTGGAGTTCCCTGCAGGCTCCACCAATGCCTCTTGTGGAGCGTCAGTCTTATATACTCCCCACAATTGTTGAGGCTCTTCGGGAGACAATCACAGAGCGCGGAATTACCAACAAGCATGTGCTCAGTAAGCTTTTACAAAAGAAATTTAAAGCTAAAAAATTTATTAATTACAATTTCCAAATATTTCAGTCGGCACTGCCAGTGGATCGATTGTTGAAATGCCATGGCATTTGCTGGATCCTCGTCGTCCTATAGCCTCCACTACTCAGGGACGTGAGGAGGGAGCCATTCCCTACATACCCGAGTTGCCTTTGCCAACGGAAAGCCATATAAACTACAACCAGACGGTCTCTCGTCTGCGTAATATTTATACAGCGCCCAGTGGTCTGGAGAGTACCTGTCTAGTCGTTGCTACGGGTTTAGGTAAGCAGTATTGCATCCTTATTCGTTATAAAAAATATCAAATTTAATTTTTTTTCAAGATTTGTTCGTTACGCGCGTGGCGCCATCAAAGACTTTCGATTTATTGAAGGAGGACTTTGACTATATTCTCATTTCCATAGTGCTAGTAGCGCTCACATCAGGATCGTTGATTGTTAAGCATTTAGCGTCACGTAAATTGCTCAAGCAGGCGTGGAAATAGGGGCTTGGCATTATTATTAAATAATTGCTTTATATAAATATATAAAATTGTACTGCGACCAAATACAACAAGGGAGGATGAAATGATGAAAAAGGGAAATCGGCGATAAGAGTATTTATATACATACATAATTCTGATAGCTGCATTACATCCCATAATGCGATTAAAACTTTTTCTCAACGCTAAGCCTAGGCAATTATTTATAAATAATTATATAGCGTTAAAACATCAAATAATTATAATTAGCTGTTGAAAGGTTTTCATTGCATTTTCTTGTTCCTTTGATTTGTGTTCGTTTGGATTTCCATATACGAAAAATATCAGCATTGAAAGTGTGTTTAAAAAAATGTAGTTAATAAAAGCATTTGTAAAGGAAGACAATGGTAAAGTAAATAAAACAATTTTTCATCACAATAAAAATGTGTTTGCATTGTTAAATTTTAACTTAGGTGTTTTCAAGTAAAGGTATTGTTATAAAATTCAAATTCCTTTAAAATTTTCTTTAAACTGAGCCAAATCTATAGATACTGAAATTTTGTTTAAATATTTATAAAATAATGATTTTTAAAAATCAAAGTAGTGTGGTAAATACGCGCCGTAAATCAGCTGACATTTGACGTTTTTTAACACCGAATCGAGTCCAATTGGATTAGTATGGAACAGCTGTTCTCGTCTTCTTCTTTCCACCGTGCTATAAAATAAAAGGATGGCACTGCGTGTTTTTGGATTAAATCTAGTGAAAACTAACAGGAATCTGCTGCAGAATGCATGCAAAACCACTGTTCAGGCCACAGGCTATCTGGTTAGTACAATTACATATAATGGGTATAAAGTAAAAAATCAATTTAACTTACCACTTCGGAAACTAAGACTAAAAGTTTGCATAACCTTTCAGGCGGCGGCTCCATTTGCCACAGAAGTGACCATACAGGCTGCTCCTGCGGCTGTCCAGAAGCAAAGAGTCAGTAAAGCTATGAGGGCGTACCTGAAGAGAGCCAACGAACACGACGAGTTCATGAAGACCCAGCACCTGGAGTTCCAGGTGGGCAAGCGGCATCTAGCCAACATAATGGGCGCTGACCCAGAGACATTTACCCAGGAAGATATAGACGTGAGTAAATGGGTAATGTGTAGTAAAATCACAATAACGTTAAACTCTACACACTTCAGGAGGCAATATCATATCTTTTCCCATCCGGCTTGTACGATAAAAAAGCCCGTCCTGCTATGAAATCTCCCGACGTTGTCTTTCCCGCTCGCAAGGCTGCGGAATTCGATGAGACGGGAAGACCATTCCACAGCATGTTCTACACAGGCAAGCCTAACTTCTTTCAGCTGCTCCATGTGAGTTAATCCGTAAATTGAAGAAAACAAATTAATAGTGTTGATGATTAATAATTACCTCGAGACTTTTTTAACATTTAGCTTAAATTTTTCTTAACTTAAGAGTATTCGGATATATTTTAGGCTTATTTATCTGTCTTCTTTAATCCTAGGACATTGTGGAGGAAACCAACAAGTTGGCAGATCTAGAGGAGCGCATGCTTCGCCGTGGCAATAAACCTGATGAAAACCAAAAGCTGTAAGCAAGCTAACTAGTTATATAAAAGACTTTGTTTACCATTCTGCTTTTTTTTTTTTTTAGAGAAATAGCTGGCTTTCAGCTACTGCCCAAGGACCAGTTGGAAACTTTGCTAGTGGAGAGCATTGCCGATATCGAGTACACGAACTTTTCAAACTCCATGGATCGGCTGATCGCATCACCTTATGCCTATAAGAGCAAAACATTTATCGAACGTTTTCTGAAGCCTCTGATGGACCAGTCCAAGCAACTGGAGGTGCCCAAGCCAAAGATCGATGAACAAGGCCGTCAGTACATTACCACTTACGAGTGTCTGCGAAAAACTGCCAGAGCGGACGTCACAGTTCGTCTGCCCGGAACGGGAAAAATCAGCATTAATGGAAAGGATATCTCATACTTTGGGGACGAGAACTGCAGGGAGCAGGTAAGTCAAGTTGTTTACTTTAGAATTACAATTAGAATTTGGATGAAAGTGGTACATTTTGATATTTAATAAGTTGTTTTCATTAAATTGAAATCAAAAGTAATTTAAAGGGAAACAAAGATTTGGTCTGAAAGTCTCCTTTGATATATGATTCCCCCAAACTACAAAAAACCAGTCACTGTTCATAACAATAGATATAGCATATATTTTATTAAGAATAATAATTTGCATTAAATTACTATATAAACGATTCTCTGACGACAACGCCAAAACAACAAAGACACAGCCTGAAACCAGCCACAAATCAATCCTGCCAACTGCTCGCCTCTAATTTAACTAACTGCTAGTTATAGTATTTGTATCGATAATAGTGTAGTATGGTGTTGGTATATGGCTATATATATGTATGTATAGGGCGCCAGGCGCATCGATATCAAAATTGGTTTAACTACAACTCGCTGCTACGATATAATATCAACAATGTTCTGGATTTCTGTTGGGACCGAAACGATCCCCTTAGGTCTAGGAAACATCTAAGTCTGATCTATAAATATTCCAAAAAGGAGTGCACTAAATGCTCCTGCTACTTGCGCAGATTCTGCTTCTGCTGATTGGATATCACAATCAGCAGCTTGTCGATCACTTTGCTGGCCTGTTGTTGCTGCGAGATGAGCGCCTGCTTCAACTCCTGGATCTCCTGGGTGAGGAACTCGATCCGATCTGCATTATCATCGATCTTGGTGGTCAGTGTGGTGAATTGGCCTGCATCTGGATCCGCATCGGGAAGCACATATCCCGTCGTAGCTCCATTATTGTTGTTATACTTATTCTTGTACGATAAATAATTCTCGGCTGAATTTTTGGAGGACACCGTATGACCGAAGTGCTTGCGCATCTTTCCCACTTCATAGGCCTTCATTAGGATTTCCCTGGGTAGACGTTTCTCGCTGGGATTCAGCGGCTTAACGCATAGAACAACCCGATATGCTTGTGGAGAGACCAAGGCCGTGTAATGAAGCAAGTTCCTTAGCCAGGTGGGCAGATAGCCATTAAATAGCGCCGACTCTATGTAGCTGATAAGTTTAGTCTGCCTCACTAGCTTAGATAACCCAGCTGTCTTCTTTAATCCCTGGATATCATGAACTGCAATACCCACGAGCAGATTCATCAAAATGATGGTCACAAACAGTAGAAACAGTACGAAGGTGATTTGTGCACTGACTTCCAGCAGAAACGGTGGATCTTTGCCTTCGGGATCATTGATCAGTAGTGAAAGATCCTGTTCACCAATCATCATCACCAGCACCGTTATAAAACCCATGAAAGGATTGGCAAATGACGACGACGAAGGGAAGATGACACAGAAGCTTATGGTGAAACCAATCAGCATACAGGAGTAGGCCATAAACAACTTAGCGAATTCTCCCTGGACTCTGGTATACATAGCTACGTAGACATCGAAGACCGGAAGCTGACCTATCATCAACATCAGATTCGTCCATCCAAGCAGCACGGCAAAGGCGCCTATATGGTTTTGGAACGTGTACGTCTTGTTGGTGTAGATATAAGATATAACAAATACGCTGGTAATCACGAACCACTCCATAATGTTCTCCACCTGGGTCACATAGTGTCGAAATGAGGAGTAGCCCGTAATCCCATATAGCTTTCGAAATATCTCAACTATAGTGATTGCTACCAGAACCCACCACTGCATCTCCATCACGAATGGGTTGTTCCTTAGCATGTCTCCCAAGATCGATTGCTTCTGGCATAATTCCTGCGCCGGAATGGTGGTATTGTCGTTCTTGCTGCCATTGTAGCAATTATGGGCCAAAGCTGTCAGCACGTAGAGTGTGAGGAAGAGCACGAAGCTGAAGCAGAAGATTAGCCTGCCAATGTAGTACTTGCGGATCTTGCCCCATTTGATATACAGGAACGAGGAGCAGAGCGGATGCTCTAGGATCTCCTTCTGTCCCTCGTCGACGAATGTGTTCAGGTAGCTGATCTCGCGTGGATGACAGTGCTGCAGCAGCTGACGGAAGTCCAGTTCCAACTCCACTTCGCGATTTACGGGGTCCTTAAAAGGATTTAGATACTTTAGAAAGAGGAAAGTAAAGAGTATATATCTCAACTCACCTGCGAGTGATGCAGCGTAATGGCTGCGTCTAGTTTCTGCCTGATCATGGCCACCGAGGCCGGAGTCTTCCGTGTGATTACGTTCAGCGCAGAGGTGCCCTTCTTTGATTTTGTCGTAACATCTGCTCCATGGAATATCAGCATTTCGACGCACTGCACTAGCCCATCCAAAGCAGCCAGATGGAGAGCAGTAAAACCATAGATATCTTTATGGTTGACATTGGCACCCCACTGGATGAGGGTCTCCATGATATCGTAGGCATTCTCGGACTTCCCCACTGCCGCATGAAGTGGAGTACGATGATCGAAATCCTCCGCATTGGCGTCAGCATTGCCATTCCTAAGAAGGGACTCCACGCAATCCAAGCTAGAAGTTCTAGCTGCCAGATGAAGAGGTGTAAAACCTCGATGATTCTTCAACTTGGCATCTGCACCTTTAGCTAGAAGTAAGTCCACACACTCCACATTACCCTCATCTGCAGCCAGATGCAAGGCCGTGGACTCCTTTTCCCGGATGCAGATACGCACATTGGCATCCGCATTGGGTGCATTCAGCAAGGCTTCCAGGCACTGGAGGTTGCCCAGATCAGCAGCCAGGTGAATGGCATTAGTACCATTTGGTTTGAGCGAGTTGACATCGGCGCCTTCGCCAATAAAGATCTGCAGGCACTCTAGTGCATTGGATCGCACGGCGCAATGCAGCAGACTCTCTTCGCAATTTGGCTTGTTTGTGTCCTTGGATATATCGGCTCCATTGTTGATCAATAACTTGGCCGCCTCTGCCGCATTTCCAAAGGCCGCACAATGCAACGGTGTATAGCACTTAGACTGCAGATTAACGTTCAAGCCCTTGGCCACTAGAAGACCCAAAGTTGCCAAACAGCCACTGAAGGCACTCAGATGCAAGGCAGATATACCATTCTGATCGCAGAAGTGCAGGTCGGCTCCTGCTTCCAGCAGACTCTCGATCAGATCCCAGCGCTTGAGGTACGCGGCCCACAGGTAACTGAGATTCTTCTCCAGCTTCGAGGCGGACTCAAAGTGCGCCCGGATGCCCTCGGCCACCACGTTGCTCTGCTCGATGTCCTCGAAGAGCTTGACACGTCCCGCGGCACTCTTCATCTGGTCGATCAGACTGATGCGCAGAGTATCGTTGCATATCTGGACGCTCAGCTCGCTCGTTGGTTCCTCGAAGCTATCGTACATGCTCGGCGCACTCTCCGCCGGCGGCGATGGTCCACACTCCATGTATTCGAATTCTCCAGCGGTCGGGTACTGGGCTTCGATCATGGCGTCAGTGTTGTTCCGCCATCGCACCATCAAGTTGGGTGGAATCGATTTGAAACTGTTGGAGATGCAGTTCGATTAGTATTAGTGTGGGTATTATTGCATTGGGAGTTGAACAGATGTTCTACGCTTGGATAACTCCCAACAAAGAACTTTGATTAGAAGAAGATTCTCAGGGCATGAACATGGAATTGCTTTTCCTAACACCTTTCAGTACAGTGGGACCCGCTTAGTCATTTTGTATGTAGTCGCAAGTGCGTCTGGTGGGATTATGATTTGTATTTTTAAATAGAGAAAAATGGGGCTGCAATATTCATTAATAAGATAGTTTCAACGTGACTTCACGTTTTTTAAAATCAATTTTCATAGGTTCTTCAATTTAAAAGTCAAAATGTGTTTTAAAAAGGTTGGATTTAAATTGAAACCTTAAAGAACACATTAAACATTCTATAGATTCTTATTGCGTTTCTAATTTATTTTCTATACTTCGGATTGTTCAAATTATTAATTATTAAGATACTCATAATCCATTTGTCAAAATAAGTTGACTTATGAACATTGCCTTTTGATTTTGAATCATTAAAAAAGTAATTAATTGGAAAAATACCATAAATATGATTAGTTGAAGATTATCTTCCAAATGACTGAGAGTTTAGAATAACTTTAAATCTTATCTATGCTAAAGGTTTAGTGGTTAACCGGTTTTTGAGGGTTCAAAATGGTTTTGAACCTTGTGGTTAGCATTTTGTAAATAAGTTTATATGGTTTATAAGGCAATCAATGAAATTTGTCTGCGATTAGTGAACATTTTTATAGCAGTGGAAGTTTTTCTTGGTTTGTTTAGCACACATTTTGATCATCATCTATGCGGTTAATTTTTAACTTCACTTTCTATTATTAGAACACATTCAAGCCATTGATGGAATTATATTCTGTGATTTAAGTTTTAATAATATGTCTGCTGTTTTGTGGTAAAAATTGGGTAAACAACTCCGAATTGCGTTTGTTTTTAACTTGTTTAGTGGTTTTTAAGTGCTTGTAATTGCTCCAGAGTTTGAACTTGAAATTATTTCGATACTTAAGCGTCGTTAGGCAAACGAATTAGTACTACATCGGGCTGACTGAGTGGGCTAAAACATTAAAACAAAGCCATTAGATAGACTCGCACTTCTCTTTGTCTCCAGACTCATCTCGCACAGTTCAACTTTTTATAGATTTGTAAACATATATTCGCCATCGCTTAAATGACACTGAACAACAGAGTTCGAGATCTGTTGACTTTTCGAGCATGCATAATTTTAAATAATAATTATTGTGTTTGGGTTTTTTTGTGTATTTTTGCGTTTGGGAGTTATGCAAAGTTGGCTTAAAAGCTGTTTTTTGTATTCAGTTTTTCACTGTTCAGTATACACTGTTGTCGTACGTTGATGGATTTACCGACTGCGCCGGTAGAATTTGTTTTATTTTCTTGGTCGCCAACTCAGGTCTGCTCAGCATAGTTGCTCGATGCATAATTTCAGACCTCGTCCATGGTCAAAAGCTGCTGCACTTGTTGTATAACTAACTAAAGTCTCTGCCTTTGTTAGGCACTTAAGCAGGGAATCTCTGGGTATGTGGACATCTAGGTCTCTAAGTGTCCGACATAGACTGAATACGTACACCGTTTGCAGCCATATCCACGGATGATGCCAATTCGCCAATGAGCTGTTTTCAATTTCTAATTTCATTTCCGAAATACATGGGAGAGCCCGGCGCGTCAGTTGGCCGATCCACGAAATACGGTCTACGGATTGGATGGGATCGGATCCGATTGGGATAGGGTTCGGAACGGGACAAGTGCCTCACAATGGGGGCCTTTTGTAAGGGGCTTAGACAATTGTGTCTAACGGGCGGAAAATGCAAAAATGTTGTGTGAAAAAACGCGAATTTTTCACTTCCGTTTTGTTGTTGCTGTCGATGTGTGTTTTTTTTTTGACGTTGTTGTTTTTGTTGTTGCTATTGTTTGTACGACGACGATCACTTCGAGCGCGTTCTAGCTTTATTTTGTGACTATGTTTCTATAGTGTTTTACTGTTTTAGCCAGCCACAAACGCGTCCGCCTGCATTGTTGTTCCAAAACCGACTGAGCCCGTTGAAAATCGGTAAGCGTTGGTTAAGTCGTCGATCGAGATTGAAAGAGAGGTTATCTGGAGAGCGGGGAGTGTGCTAGGGGGAGATACCTGTACAGGTAGGGTCAAAATTATAGCCATGGGAACCAAATATTTGTTAACTTCTGTGAGTGGTTAGTTTACAGACTAAGCTATTTTAGGCATTATAATTTGGAGTTCAAAATGAACACTTTATTGGTTGCTTAACAAATAATAAACTGCAAAGTTTGTACATAATTAACAAATTATTAATTTAATAAATTGTAAACTAAAGTAATTATCACCTTAAGGGCTATTATCTTGAGCACAGCTGTACCAAAATGGTATTTTTAGAGAGCGGAATACTTTGGAGAGAGTGAGAAATCTCCAAAAAGTCTGCGAATAAGTGCGAGTGGGAGTGTAAATATTTGGCGCATTTCACTTTGGAGTAAACTTTAGAGTTTTTATAGGTAGAGTTCTTTATAAAAGTTATAAATAATCTAGAGAAGAAGGCGACTAAAAATTAATGATCATTTATTACGATTATTCAATCAATGAAAAATGCCATGACCTTAAAAATTAATTTTAAACCCTTATAGGCCTTAACCTTTTAAATAAATATTCGAAAAATATAAAAAAATAGCATTGATTGTTTCTTTAGTTTGATTAACCAAGATCACGAGAATTTTTTTGTTGTTCTAGTAAAAAAGAAAATATTTTCAAAGTCATATAATTTTGAAAGTAATTAAAGCAACTTTTACACGTACAGAAAAGATATTCCATTTGTTTTGTTTTTAAATATTAAATTAGAAATAATAATAATATAATTTGCATAATCTTAATTTGAACATTACGATGTTTTGCTACATTACCCTATAAAATTGTTTGATTTTATGGAAGGGAAAAAACTGTTAATAAATAATTAACATTCCATTCCTATGGTAAAAATAGTTTTGGGGTAACTTTCCGTAATAACTACTTTGGCATTTCCACAAAATAAACCAAATTTGTTCATATAATTTGTTTATTTTTCTAATACCTAATATAAGCAAAAATGTGAACTAATTACAAAAGTTACTGATCTGCGGAAATAAATTATCTAAAGTAATTTTCAGACTTTGTGGGAGTAATACCCTCCAACACCCAAAAAAAAGTTGTCTACTCCTCTCGCACATATTATAAAATTATGAAAATGTTGATTTTTTATTTGCAAATAACTTTTGATGGCAATTCATCTGTCACATAAATCATGAAAAACTTCCGTGTCTTGGGTATGATTTTTGGGTAAGGCAATCACGCCCATGTGTGTAATTTGTATACACTTCGATTTTAGCCAGAAATTTCTGCAACTGCAACGGGCAACTGAAAGCTGGCAACTTCAACTGGCACTTACCGGTTATTTGCATTATTCTCTGTGAGCGGCTGTTCCACTTCGGTCTTGGTAACGACGCTGATCGAACGTGTCATGCGGCGGGGTTTCGTGCTGCCCTCCTTATAGCCAAGATTCTCCATGGTGACGGCCACAAGTTGGTGCTGCTGCTGCCGGTGTCAATGCTGCTGCTGGTGCTGCTTTCGTGGTTGTTGCAATTAAAACGCGCAAATATGCGCTAAAAAGTCGTAGCAAATGCAACTTAGGTTTTTTTGTCACCTCCTGCAATTGGCAATAAATATGCGAAAAAGTTACTTTCCAATAACACACGCCTGCGGAGAGCCAATTTAAAGCCCAATTTCAACGAAAACGGTTGACATTTTCATTGGCCCGCAATGATAGTTCGGTGAAAAGTTTATGGACTGTATTGTAACAAACCCGCTAAGAAATCCCAAGCAGACTGCACAGCCACAGCTCAAAGATCTGCAAAAATCTTAATTTTGGCGTCACTTTTTCTTTGGTTTACTCTTCAAACTGACTGTATGACTTTCCCTAACTGGCTGGGTGGATGGATAGATGGACTCCGGCTAAGATAGCTTTTCGTTGTGCGTTGGATGCGACACTCGTGGCCGGAGTTATCTAAGCGCCTTCCTTTTGGCGCAGCGATAAGCCCACATCATCACAATCATAACCATTATCGCTAGACTATCTGGGGATTTATCTTAAACTGCTACTGGTTCTTACTGTACTTAAAAAAAAGGGGGTTAAAGAGCTTGAATGTTAATAATAAAATAATTTTTAACTAATGAAAAGATACTACAGTTTTAAACTAAAACTAAAAAGATTAGTCTCTTTAAACTGGATAACTATTTTGTTAGAAGATTGCATAAGTCTGATTAATTCTATAAAGCTATCTACCAATTTACTTAGGTTCAATTACCTCTAGTTACTTATCTCTTGGCTAACCTTGCTTATAACAACATTTGTTTAAATCGAATTGGATCAAATTTCATCTCAGTTTTTCCCTTTCTTCAGATAACTAGTAGTGTTTATATGGATAAACCACCCCTTCAAGACACACCCATGCTAAATTTGCTGATTATTTTCTTGATTTTGTTTGTTCATATTATTTACAATTTATGTCAACGTCAGAAGTGGAAGTACTCATTCATTCAGTATGTAAGCAGATTCCAACGGTCAGGAGCGGTTTAGCTGGACCATAAAGCAAAAGAGTTATAAACGTTAAATCTTTAACGTCTGAGATCATTTTTAAAACTCATTGGTAAATAATTAATTAAATGTTTAATTATTCAAACCTTGACAGTATTTTTGTATTATTTGTTTTCTAAAATAAAAAGCTTCTCTTTGAGTTTGCTAGATTTAATTTATTCTAATATAATTTTAAATATATTCCAGTTATCCCTTCACTTTTTTAATTTCTAAATTATTTATTTTTATGGTTTGATTTGACATTAACTCTTAATCTTCTTTTATTACTTTTTATAGTGGCTTTATGCATTTATTTTGGTTGCTTATAAAATTAAAGTCCGAGCTATCAGTTTATTTTTCGCTGCTTTTGCCTATGATTATGTAATTTCAGGAATCTAGAGAGTTACGGTGCCACATTAGATTAAATTAGCTACCCAAGCGTTACGCTTGTTTAGGTTCCATTTGTTGCATTACTTTCGGCATCGCATTACCGTAAACAATTCTCGCCCGATTCTGGGAATCTTTCAAACTTGTTTGCAAAACATAAACAAAAGTTAATGAGAAACCAACAAAAAAAAAAAGAGTCTCTGTTTGCCTGGCGACAACGCATGAGAAACTTTCTTTGATTAGGCGAAACAAAAATCGGTTGACTGATTAAACAGATATGGCGATAAACAAGGTAACGACAAAAACTTCGGCCAAAATTGAGCTGGCTAAATTATGCGAGCAAATTAATCAAAATCTGTGTTTCAGTTGAGAAACCAGTTTTTCGATTTGATGAAGTCTGCTACACGGACAAAAAATATTGGTTTTCAAGTCGATAGCAATGTTGATTAGAATTTGTTTTTATTCAAGATTTAACTGAGATATTTTTTATCAATTTTTTGCAATACTTTTAATAAATGTATACCAAAGCGCACAAAATTTGTTGCTGTGTGTGGCTTTTGGGTTGGGGTCTGGAGTCTGCTAGGCTCAAAATTTTGCTAACACATTAGGCAAATATTTAATTTAAGCCGCCCCCGTGTGATTACAAATGTGCTGCCACTTTTGCCACATTGTGTGAATTGCTGGAAATCGTCAAATCAATTAATACGATTTTTTTAAATACACTTTTGCAGTCGCAAAAATGTGTTAAGACTTTAAATAGAGCATGATAAGAGGGGGCTAGCGGCCAGCTTTTGTTGATTTTGATGGCCCGGAAGTGCCATTTGGCTTGGATTACCCGTTATGTCAGACCTCCGCCGCCGGCCATTTTGGAAAACTGCGTCGCCATCGGGGCGGTGGAAATGGCGACAGGCCGAGCGATCTTCGCCAGCGTTCGTTAACTTTCTCGGGTATTTCTTTTCGCCGCTCGTTGATTCAATTATAATTGAAATCAATTTGGCATTTTTTCTCGTTTTTGTGGGGACTTTAAGGGGGTTTAATATCTGAGCCGAACGCATTTCATAATGCCCTTGAACCTGAAGCGCATGCCCATTCCCCATACACAACGCCATTTAGTTACTCAGTTCTACTAGATTAGATTTATATATATCTCTTTATAGATATTCGTGCGCCTATGCAGTTGCAATTGAAACTGAGGCATAGTGCTTGAATTAAAGGATAATATGCAGTCGACAAAAGCTGAGCACCGAGTGTAAACAAATCTCAATTGCTATTCATAAGCTTGCACTCGGTTATGGAGATCGTTGATTGTTCACTTCGCTGATTTTGTAATGGAAATTGACGGGTTTTACTGATATAAGGGGAAGTTGTACTCAGATTTTTGGACTTCTATTAATGGAATTTGTTTTTATTCTTGGAGTATTTTATTCTTTGATTTTTGAAAGAAATTGGAAAATCTAATGTTGAGAAATGTTGGAGTATACTGATTAGGAACAATCAAGGAGTCTATTTTTAAAGACATTTAACTTTGACATTTTTCCGTAGAAATATTATATTTATCAATGTCGCATACTAACTATTTTTAAACCTTCCGAAAGGTATTGAAATGTAAATATTTTTAAATAAATAAATTTAAATTTAATAAACTTATTTGATATACGTTTTTGGCTTCTATTTAAGCTAAAATCGTGTTTTCTAGTCTTTGCAAAGATTTAAAGTTTCTTGTCTGCGATATAAGTTAATCTTATTACTTAGAGTTCTTTTTCAAAAAGCGGAAGAGATTTAAAAAATTGAATATTTTTTTAATCGTTAACGCCTTTTTAAATATTTTGATAAGTAAGTAAGTAGTAGTATAAATACATTTTAAACCTGAGTATATTTTTTTTATTTATTTTTAAACTAAATTTCTTTAAAAAGTTTTTTTTTAAAATCACTTTACATTATTCCAAGGCTTTGATGGTTTTAAAAGCAGTCGCAGTGCCCGCGGACAGTCAATGCTCGCGACATTTTGTTGCAAATAATAATCCTTTTTCTTAAGAAATATGTATGATGGATATTTGATGGAATTTTCTTTTGGGCGATGTAAACTTTTCCGACACTTGAGGCGCGCGTTCGACGACGTGGGATCGACTGATAAAAAGAACTGCGCCGAAATGATATTGTCCGCGATATGAGTGTCCAAAACTAAGCCGACACGAACGAGCGTCAATGAAGTAGATGTACACTTAGTATATATATTATATATCTTTCAGATCCGACACTATTACACTTGTACAGTTGGTTCGCCGAGCGAGATCTTCGTGGCTTTATGTCGTCTCGAGTCATGTGTCAAACTATAAAATTCATTTAAATCATAATAAATTTTTACCGCGAATTTTCTTGAACCGCAGAGAAGCCGGTAGGTTACGTCTCCCTTTGGAAGCATTACCCTCAGACCACCCCAATCCTCCCACACCACACCTAAATACTTAGGTGACATTAAGACAGATTTGAGATTTGGGGAACCCTGAAGTTTTTGGGGGAACCAGTTTTATTATTTGCCTCGTCACTTTTCTGCAAATCTGTTGCTATTTTTATCGCAGTCAATTAAGCATTTCTGCGCTCGTCTTTGGCATTCATTTTTTGTGTGTACTGTGTCTACCTACATTAATTTAAAAATCTTGTCCGTAAGCCTTTTATTATGTTTATTATTGTTGTTACTGTTGCGTGAAGTCATCTAGCAATTTGTTTAAACAAATCAAAATCTGTCTCTCTTTCCCATTTGTTGGTTGCTCACCAAATATTTCCAGTGATTGATGGCATTTGTCGATTTGGTTTGCCAAAAAAAAGTTTAAAAATTGCTCTTCCCCTTTTATTGTCGTAGTTTTATTGTTTATTGTTTTTTAATCATAACGTTTATTGTCCGTGTGTCTCCGACCATTGTTAGGCGTTACGTTTGTCAAGCCCCTTGACTTTGTTTCCCACGCAGTCAAATCGAAAAAAAATGAATTACGATTTGTTTTGGTCTTTGGATTCTGTGAACTTTGTGACTGGCGTCAGAGCTGTGTACTAAGTATGCTAAAATATATGATAAATTTTTTATTTGCGCAAAATATTACCTTCTCTGGGGATTCTCCTTGATTTGCAAATAGGATTACATTCACCGAAGGCTTCTTAACTACTAGTATTTCGCTTTACTTTAGTCAGATATAGCCATTTTTCAAGATATGTATACTCATAACAAATTGTCATGTAGTGGTAAAGATATGAAGAGATTGGCCTTTGTATGTAAATGTTTTTAAAATAAAAAAGGACTATGGCTGGTAATGAAATGCTTCTAGATACAATTTTTTTTAATGTAGTTGTATATTTTGAGGTAAAATTAATCTTGTAATATGTTAATAGATTATAACCAAAATAAAAATGTTGTATCTTGCGTATCTTGTAGAGGAAATCTTACAATATTTATAATTCATATTGAAACCTACTGTTGTTGGTGACAAAATATTATATTATATAACAAAAGTGAAGTAAGATTCTAAACTATAGAATGTGTTTTGAAAATTTTGTCTTTCGTAATGAATGATTTCTGGAATAACTTTATTTTTCATTTATTTTTTTTCCAACTTATTTTTCTAATCTATCAAAACCCGCAGAATAACATAAGTCACTATGGTTCCAAACCTGTTTATTTTTTGTTACTCAACCGTCTTTGATAGACTTTTAAAAGAAATTGCCTAATTACGTGAATCAAACTATTACCCAACCTATTAACGGGACAGCGCGTGCTGATCATGCCCGGGGCTCTACAATTATCGGGACTTGATGCATTGCTGTAATGCATTTATAATTTGCATCACACCTAGCCGTGGTCGGCAGACAAACCTTTCAGATCCCACCCCCTCGATTGACGAGTTCGCTAATTGCCAGGCGGACATGCAACAATTTGTTGCAGTTTAGTGGCTGCGGCCGACAGACATTTAATTTGGCTAACGATTCTGGCATTATCTAGCCGCATTGTTGTACAGGAAGCGCTATCGCAGCATCATTTTGTGTGTATACAGAGAGATCCATACAATGGCTGCCTCGGGCGCTCGAACTTGACATCTAACGGTGGCCACGACATTATCTCATTCTCATTCGCCAATTCGTTATCTCGATTTTTCCAGCTGCTCTTCCCGCTGCAATTTAGCGAGCTGCTGGGCAAAGTCGATGTGGAGGCCAATGTCGAGGGAGGCGGACCTTCCGGTCAGGCCGGAGCCATCCGCTGGGGAATCGCGATGAGTTTGCGCAGCTTTGTCGATCAAGAGATGATTGAGTCAATGCGTCTAGGTAAGTGCATGTGGCTCCTATGTATCCGCCTCTATTCGCTTATTGCCGCTAATTGCAATTTATGTTGCAGCCGGTCTGCTGACACGTGACTATCGCCGTCGGGAGCGTAAGAAGTTCGGACAGGAAGGAGCACGCCGCAAGTACACGTGGAAGAAGCGTTAAGCACGGGCACGTGCATCTACAATACTAGCTGCATTTTTTATCGAAATGTTTTAATAAATAACAAATATGTTAATGGATGTTTTTGGTCTACATTTGATCGAGTGGTCGAAGGCCCAGGAGCTGCATTCCCTGCTGCAGTGTTTTCTTGGCAGCGTGGAAGAGGAGCAAGCGCTGGGATTGCTTTTGCCGGCAACTCTCTTTCTTAACAGGTAATCGTTTCAAGGCTCGACTAGTGGCGTTGCTGTAGTGTAAAAGAAAAGAGATAATTCAGTTAATAGCTTTAATTTTAAAATACCTACCATAGTCCGAAGAGATAGTTTACTAGCACACAGGGCTCCAGTTGCTCCTTTGAATGCCAAATGCTTTGATCAAAGCGTGCTAGCTCGTAGAGTAGATCCAAGGCATCCGCTGGCTCCTGGGCGAAATGCTGCCAGTTGGGCTTGATGTTGTCCGGATCCAGTTCCTTGAAGTTATCCAGCAAGCTGTGCAGGCGGCAGTGTGTGTATTGGAGCTTGATTCCCGTATCGCCATTTACTTGGAGCGCCTGCTGCCAGCTGAACTCGTGATCTCGTTGCCGACGTTGCTTGAGGACATTGACTAGGACTGCTGAGACACCCAGGATATCACACACACTTTCATCATTTAGGGAATGGTTTTCTCTGGTTGCTAGAATTACTATGTTATTAAGAATAATGGGTTTTTGTTACGTCGATCCTCCACCTACTTGCACTCAAATTCCGTTTCTCTCGCATTATTTCCCGTGCCTCATCGAGGACATCCTTTAGAAATATGGCTTTTCCTTGCCGAGTGCTCATGCCATGAATGCGACCGAATTTTACATGTTGCAACTGATCAAGACTTAAGTGATCTTCTACAGCGGCAGCTGTTTTGAAGAGAGCATTAAAGTGATCCGCCTGGCCATTGTCGACCACATAAAGTAAACGGGAGAACTGGAACCTGGAGAGCCTCTCAAGAAGAGCAGCTATATCCCTGGCCAAGTACAACGTAGACCCATCACTCTTAATCACTGGGATGCGTCTACCATCTACCACAACAATCTCACGACCATCTAGCTCTGGTTGCAGGAGACCAGCAGAGCGTAGTTTTTCCAAAACATTCTGAATTTGTTGTTGGGAGTACTGGGATTCCCATTCGTAGGTATCGAAGTGCACTCCCAGCCGGTTGTAGACTTTGGATAGATCTTCTATGGTGTACTTTCTATACAGCTGCCATTGTTTGGCCATAGCTTCATCTGTGCCTGCCTCTAAGGCGGTGAAGAGATCCCTTGCTCGCTGAGCGATTTCTGGACTTTCCTCAGCTGCCTTATTGGCAGCCACATAGGATTTGTAGAGCGTTTCTATTGGCGATGCCTGCATCTCCTTGTCGCTTACATTCTCCAATTGGACACCCAGCGCTAGTAGGCCAAATTGTGTACCCCAATCGCCCAGGTAATTTAAGCGGGTGGTGTGATATCCGAGATGCTGGTACAGATTTGCCAGAACATTACCTATGATCGTGGAGCGCAGGTGACCCACATGAAAGGGTTTGGCTATGTTCGGTGAGCTGTACTCTACCACTATGTGTTCTGCAGTTGAATCAAAAGGCTTTAAAAGATTCGCTTTGGTTTGGAGTAACTGTTCCACAAAGGCCTGAGGTTGCAGCTGAAATTCGATCTTGGCTGGATTACGTCCGGCACTGGGCACTACTTGGACTTTCTCCACAAAGGTTTCATTGAATTTTTGCGTCCTTACTACATCTAGTAATTCTGGCTCCTGTTGCGCAACCGCAGTTGGAAGAATCCATTCCAAAGTCGGTCGTCTGGCATTTTGGAGCTGCTGTTTCTTGGCAGGCACCTCCAGAGCATTGCACACTTTCTTCAGCTGTGGGAGCTGCAATGCCAGATATCACTTATATCTGATAATGTGTAACTGCGAGCAAGGTTTTACTCACCTGGTCACAAATTGCACGCCGAATGCGAATCATTGGCAAACGGCAATCTATTCCTCCTGTCTTTTTGTGTACTATTCAGTACAATTCAACATTACAACTTGTATTTATAAGTTTTAGAAATATTTTAATTCAAGAGATTAACTATTAAAACCAACAAATCGTTTAAAAATACCTTAGAACATATGTAAGAAACATGTAAACAAACAAATGTGTGACCGTTCATCTACCGCCACAAAATACCTCTACAGAACTCAAAACATATACCAAAGCCACCTTAATGCCCAAAAGATTTTCTTTCCTTTCTAGATGTTATTAAATACTAAAGCTACTTTAAATAAAGAAGCTACCAAAATTGTGATTCCATTTCCTATGATTAATTTTTTCAAAAATAGTTATAGTCGTTTTATTTTATTTTATAAATCCATACGAAATGAAATATATGCTTTTTCATAATTATGTTTTTAGCCATTAAAAACCAGAACAAAAACATTAGTGATAATCCACTTCCATTGTCAAAATATATCATAGAATACTTATAGGCCATGAATAACATTTTCATTATTATTGAAATATTTTTAAAAGAATGTTGCAGGAATAGCGGTAATTGTGAAGTCAGCTGTTGTGGTCTATTTTGACGTCACACGCTAACCGTTCGAATTGCGCATGTCAGCGTTGCCAGTTTTTTCAAATCTAAAGCCGCAGAATTAAAATTGCAGTAAATAATAACAGTCTCACCCCAAAAGTTCATTCATAATTAATAGTTTTATCTGCTTAATTAGTAATTAATTTGCCTGGATTTACCGACGCCCATGTGAACATATGTTCAGTGTGGCTTCCATTTCCAATTCCATTTCCAAATCTCTCTCCCCCAAAACTTCCAGGCCCTGCGTCAACTCCAACGCCGTCGCTTTGGCTTTGCTCGGTGGATTATTTTCAGAGACCTTTCCGTTCAGGTTCAGTCGTGTTCGTAACGTCGTCGAGTTGAAATCGAAATAGCTGGATCAGATTCACATAAATATATCTATATATAAGCAGCAGTAGCAGCAGCGGCAGAGCAGCAATCGGTTCAATCTCTAAAAGTGTGTTTCCCTAGTGCTTCACCTGAAGTTTCTTGGCATTACTACCTTACCAACGATTCGCTCCAGTGACCAAGACCACAAAAGAAACCAAAAAAATAGAAGAAAAACAGCTAAAAGAAAAGCACAATTTGCAGCCAGTACTAAGCGGCTAAAAAGTATTGCATACCACAGGGCTGTCATGAAAAATAGATATCGATTTGCCAGGGCATAAAAATAAGAATCTGAGCGCGGCTCTCGCACTAGTTTCCCTTTTTAATGTCCAATAAAATTGTTTGCCCGATATAATCGAGGTATTATTGGCTAATTACTCCGACATTCAGGGGGCCATAAAAATGTCCTGCGTGCGTGTTTGTGTGTATGTGTGAATGAGATCATCGCTGGAATACGCGGCGCCTGCTGGTATGCAATACTTTTTCTCACGCCTCGATTTCTACCCGCAGCGGAAGTCTAATCCAATTTGGCCTATGACAATACAAACGCACTTTCTTCGCTACGCATTATCCAGGTGCGTGTGCGTATAGAGAGTGAGCGAGAGAGAAGAGCGAGCGAGCGAGGACGAGCAAGCGAGAGGTGAAATATTTAAATTTTTAAGGCAAGCCGCGTTTGTGTGTGTGACCCATGAAAAGTTGTTAAATATAAGCAACGCCAATCGCCGAAAATCGAAAATAGATAAACCCCTACGTTCGCGTGTTTAATTTGTATTTTTGGCACCTTGGTTTGGCAAACAGCAAAAGCATTTCCCTATGATTGGCTCATTCTGGAATCTGTGCAGAGCGTGCCCATCAATGCCGGTAGACAAGGTAAGTAACGTCTAATGTCCTTGAGTAATATACTTTTTAAGATCAATACGGTATGCCAAATAAAAAAGGGCCTCAAAGAGCAACTGTATATTTTTTTGATTTGAATTTCAATTGAATTTTTTGTTTGGAAATGTAAATATATAAAATATTAATAAATTATTATGATGATATACATGTATATTGCATTGATTACATTCTTCATAACATTATTTGTTGTACCATAAAACCCCAATAGAAGTTCTATTTTGTGTTATGTTTTTCATAGCACTTGAAGCAGGATAATCCACATTTTTGCCAGCGATTGAGTCCTTAAGTTATTTTTAGCCTGTTTTCCTTGGATTTCTCTGCTTTAGCCTCTTAGCCCAGTTTGCAGACAGCGTACATTTCGTTTATAGCGTCCAAATCGTTTGATTTATGTACGACAGTTGTCTGAATCCGCGTTTGTGTGTGTGTTGTGTGTAGGACGACACATAATAGATTTTTATTGCATACTTGCAGGCGACAAGTGAAAGGGGGCTGCAGCCGAAAATGGGGTGACTTGTCCTGAGTTATGACTCGCTTCGAAGAATTGTGGGATTAGGGTGCATTTTTAATATTGGGGGATTTTTACATTCCATTTGCGGCATTATATTGGAGGGTTAAAGCAGACTCAGGGGACCAGAGCAGAAATTTAACATGAAAAATGAGGTGAATAATAATTCCCAAAATCATAATTAACATTTTAATTATGCAGACTACATATGTACGTTACATTTACACAGTTATACCTGTGATAAATAGAACTGTATAAATTTAATTTAAAAGTATAATTTCCTAAAAATTCAATTTGTCATATTTAGATAATAGACTTTATAGGAAACAATAAATCCAGATAAAAGTCATTAGCTCAATTTATCTTGATTTATAAAAGCACTCGCTAAAATTAATCTTCTTTTGCGATTCCTTGATCTCTTCCACTTAACGGATTTCCCCTTGGCCACATTTCCCTACCAGCCTTCATAACGTTGATCAATATCACCTTACGTCTGCAATCCTTGGAGTGCCGTCACAAATCGTTTGTCCAGCGGCATGCAATATTTCTGTGCTTATTTCCAGACTATATAGACCGAATATAAATGGAGTCCCAGGGTAAATAACTGAAATTCGCTGGCAGCGAATAAATTAACTTGCATTACGCTCGACACCAATCGCAATCGCGTCAGCGTAAAGTAAGTAACAGCCAAAAAAAAAAATAAAATAAAAAGAAACACTGAACACGGAACCAAGGCAAGAAAAATGGCCAAAAAGGCAGAAAAGGCGCAGAAAATCAATAGCATAGCTTGTGGCTTGTTTGGGCCCACAGCTGTGGCCGGCCGGGGTGCCACATAGCGCCCGAATTCGGACCCGGACCCGGACACGGACTCCGCCGGAGATGGTCGACCGAGGAAACGCTCTCCAGCCTTCCAACGCTGCCTTCCAGTCTCTGTGCAAAACAGCTGATTCATCAACTTTGCCACGACAATATATAAGATTGTGGATTGTAGGAGAAAAGAATCTCACAGTATGCATTCCACAAAGAACAGTAGAAATTCCCGAAACGAAAACTTTATTACATATATATAAAACTTTTAAAATTATTTCTAAAGGGTTGCTTTAAAAAGTTTGAAACTTCGAAAAAAGCGCGTTTTGGTTTTGGATTCCCATTTATTTCCACCGTACAATATATTTTCTCCTATTAGCCAAGGAGTACTGTAGCTTAAACAGAGTTACACTTTTCACATTGCGCACAAAGTGGTGTGGTACAACCTTCCATCGTATCAAGATCCCGCGCATGTGCAGCTTAGAGAGAAATGGTGAGAGAAATGAAAACGGACTTTTGGAGAAAGCGGCAGCTGAGAGATAGCAAGAGCACTCGAAGAGAGCACCTTGTAGCCGGCTTTTACTCGGAGTTTTTGTTGTTGTTTCCCTTTTGCTTGTTCAGCCATATGACGTTCGAGGCAAAATTGTCTTGCGGTATTACATCAGCGCAGCAGGGTAGTCAAACTTTTATGGCGACACCTTCCCCCATCTACTCCTGTATGCCCACCCATTCCGCCGACCCCCCTCTGGTCCACCCACTAATCCAGTAGCAACAACAAGTGCCGGCTAAGTGTCGCCAGTCGGTCGTCGGTTGCATGCCACACGCTTATCGATTCAGCTCGCATATGGTTACCGCCATGCTTAATTCTTAGTCACTCCCCGGATCGATTCGCCGATTCCTTGCAGTCAGCTGGGCGTCACCCTGAAATGCACCGGCGAAAAAGTGGAGTGAAAAGAGATTGCTATTGCAGACGTTCTTAAAAACGTTTTTATCTTTCAATAGTTAGACAACCTTTAAATGTCTAAATTTAAAATGAATAGTTATATTTAGAAACTAAAGACGTTTCAAAAATTTGGACTCACACTTTCTTAAAAGAAAAGTTTTTAAATTATGAATAAATTTTTTGGGGATAACTTTGATAGAATTAGAAAATAGTTTATAGTTCTTTTAAGTTTTATTATAGTTTTCCTTAGTTGTAACTTGTTAAAAAATGATAAATGCAAAAAACTCATCAGTGTACATTCATTCAAATCTTCCGAGTTATCTCCCACTGACACTCGCAGTTATATCCGCACTATTGTTTGCCTCCGTCTATAACCACCAGCAACATCTTCCGTTGGATTGTGTGAAAGCGAGGTGGTTGCCTTTGTTGCCCATGTTATCATCTGAAAGCAGGAAACTGCGAAGAGTTCGGCACTGTCACACACAACATACTAACCAAACTTTTATTACGGCTTATTTTGTATGTGCTGGCGGTCTATATTTGTGGTAAAAAGTTAAGGTAGAAAAATTTTGCCTTAAATGTGTTTAATAATTTAATCTTTTTGCTCTTAGTAAGCTTAAGTATCGAGGCTATTGGTACCTGTTTCCCTAGAGATTTATACATATATAATAGAAAACTGTGAACTTCTTTGGTGCAGCAAGAGAGTGGGACTATACCAAGGCAACTCTTTTTCCGTCTACTCCGGAAAACTCTTCTTATTGCAACTAACGAGTCCAATTTGCACATTTCTTCGACTGTCTTCCCACAACAATTGCCTCAATTGCCAGAACCGAAAATTTGGGGGAAACCAAAGGAAAACTCAACCCACCCGAGGACCCTGGAGCCTAGGGAATATGAAGTTTTTTGTTTTGTCTTTTTGGCGATTGTTGAAAACCGATGTGGAATCTCCGTGGATTTGAAGCAAGAGCTGTATTTAGAGTAGTGAAAAGTTTTCTAATTACTTGGGGTCAACAGTGCGGAGGCGGTTAGTGTGAAATCAAAAAATGTAAAACACTCTGGTGCAGAATGAACTTTTTTCCAGCTATTATTAAATTGTAAGGGAAAACAGTTCAGAATTTTACTGACATACACGAAAAAGTTTAAACAACCTGACTGACTGGTTAAATGTTTGAAGGAAAGGTCGAGGGGTATGCACATGTCGCACGAGAGATTTCCCTTTTTCAGCTTTTCCGGACTTCTGTTGTTTTTACAATTGCATTTTCTGGCAGTCAGTCATTTGGTTATTTGCATATTTTCAACACAAATCAGTGAATCGCATGCGGAGCGCATATAAAAATTGTACATTTCGAAGAAGTTTTTATTTCACTTGCTTTTTATTGTTGTTTATTTTATTTTGGGAAAACATTTGGCTGGTTTCTTAATATTCGTAATTGGCTTGGAATGTTTATTGTTAATTGTATTTTTATTGATCAAATTTGCGAATAATAGTCTTGTGCTACAAGAATTTTACTTCAGGCTTTAAATATGTTTTAAAAAGCCGATTTTTAAAATTTTAAACTCTAAAATTATTTATATATTCCTATCCCAAAGGGAGATATACATTTTTTGATAATTTATAGCCAAAGATAGTTTATCCATCATTTTGCCTGCTCCTGAATTTTCCTACCAACTTTATGATAGCCTTGATTGTTTGTTTTTTTATGTGAGCTGGTACTTTTAGCGTGTTAATCAGCAACAACTTTTTCATATTGATTTTCCTATTCGACAGCCATTAAAAAGTGCACACGAATGTCGAACGAGCACGAAATGTCTATCAAGTCGTGCTCATCAATGTCAGGCGATTAGAACTTGTATGGAACCCAACTTTTTCCATTAAAGCAGAAGCAGAAACATTTGATGCTTGCTAAAAGCGGCTCTTAGGACATCGATTAAAAGCCAATTATAAGCTATTTGCTGATCATTTCCGTCTTATCTCATTTAGTGCAGGAAGGAGCCGAAAAATGTCTAGAAAAAACATAATTTGATTAGTTTTTATTAATTTGCAAAACGGCAGCATTAACCGAATGAGTTGGTCCATACGGCAACGCCCCATCCTTGGCACATTACGTCAACTTTGGCTTCAGTATTTCCACTTTTCAGTCCTTCCAGCCATCCAACCATCCATCCATCAACATCCTGAGTGAACCAGGACCGTGCCATCACATCGCCTAACGAATTTCAATTTCAATTTTCTGCCTTTGAACTAATGCAATTATAATAATTTCCCTTCACAAGTGAATGGATTACAGGGCCGGGCTAACGGCCTGCCAGGTGCCACATGGCATTTACCATATGCTATATGGTCTATGCTATATACATGGCACCCAGCATGCCGTCGTTGCTGCACTGACGCAGTCTTCAAAAACCCCTTTTAGCCCTCTGCCCTGTGACCCCTTCTCATGTTGGCTGGCTCTTGGCTGGCGACCAAGTTGCAAGGGGCTGTTGATGCTGACAGTGCTGATAGTAATTTTATTGGACGGTTTGGGGTTGGAGTAGTGAGGGAATCTTGTAGCCATAATGCTTAAGGAGCTCGAAAGGTTCTTAAAGACATTACTTTGTCAGTTAACAGCAAGTAAAGCTTTTAGACATCGGAAAGAATAAGGTGTAGCTTCGTAGAGTTATATTCTTGGCACAAACTGAATTTGTAATATCTTAGCAGATTTATTCTTCAAGATTATT